TCTGCCTTTGCGTTTACCAGTGATTCCAGCAATTGTTCCAACTGTGTAAGGTCTATCTGGTTGACCTGTTGTTGATACATATGTTGTTGGATGGTATTGTGCTGATGAAGACTAGGGGGAACACCGTGTTGACCCGAAGCTGAACTTCCACCCCATTGAGCTGAACCACCAGATGCCGCAGCTGACCCCTGTCCTCTCTTCAGCCTGTTCGCCAAAGATATCGCCTCCTGAGTCGGGTTGGCAGGTTGGTCACTAATGTGCATCATTGCAGCTTGCTGAGTTTGCTGTTCTGCAAGTTTCTCTGGGGAGTCAGTCGATGAAGTCCATGTACTGTTGGGTCCGTCCACTTTGAATGGGGTCGCCGGCACCTCCCTCTTCATGTTTTGGCACGGGAACTCAAATTCAGGGAACTTGTCAATGCCAATCAGCTATGCAAAATTGCGCCAGATGGCAGCGAGCAAAACTGGCAGTGCAAACTTCTCCAACAAATCGCGCAAGCGCGAGAAGGAGGGCAAAATGCCGAACACCAAGCTTGCAGTGAAACAACCTGTTGCGGTGAAACTATGTTGCAGTGAAACTTGAAACAAGCAAAAATTGCGGTGAAACTCCTTGGCAACAATTGCAGTGAAACCTCGTTCTTGCTCTTGCTCTTGCTCTTGCGCTTGCGCCGCTGAGAAATGAGTCAATGAACAACTCCTCAAGATGTCCTGCACTCCTTCACCAGAGGCTTCGCAAGAAGCTGGGCAACCCGAAATCTGCAGCCGACTCCTCCTCCAGTAGATCGTCGAGCTCCTCAAGAGCTGCCGATGGCCGATTGGCGTGCGAGATCAACACCCGACACCTGTTGCCAGCGGCTCGACGAGCCTGAAGTTGCTCCACCTCCTGCAGGAGGGAGCGCTGGTCGTCCACAAAAATGGCCGCCCCCACACGGCAGACTTCTTCTGCCTTAGATGTGGCACAGCCCGTGAGCGATGGCCTGTCACGGGCAGGATCCGAAGTGAACTTCCGGTTGACCACGTGGATGAACCTGAAAGCTCGTGTCAACTCAGTCTCAAGATCACGTGCCTCACGAAGCACCCTGGACTGAGTGGCTGGCGCCGATGCGAAGGAGCAAATGCCAAGATCGTAGCCCAATGACTCGTCGAAGCGTCTGCTTCACCCTCTCGGGCACGTAGGATCCACCACTCTGAGACTCAAAGGACAGCGTCCGATGCCAATCAAGAACTATGAGCGGTCGCTCAACCGAAGTTCCTGGGCGAGTAGATGCCACCGATGAATCTGGAGATGAACGAGGTTCGGCCTTTGCCTTGGCCACCACTGTTGCCTTTGGAGCAGCCTTAGGCTCCGCGGGCCTCAACGATCCCCTTGACCCGGTGCGAGAAACTTCACTGGTCCCTGCCGTCGATGATGTCCTGGCCGGAACTCGAATGGTCCTCCTTGTGGTCACTGGAGTCGATGCTGAGGCTGTATCGCGCTCTGCGCGAGCTGTTCCAGATGTCCTCACCCCTCTTTCGCGCTCAGCGCGAGCTGATGTCTCCGCCGGCCGAGTTCGATCTTCGCGCACAGCGCGAGCTGATGGTTCCGCCGGTCGAGGTCGATCTCCACCTTCGCGCACTGTACGAGTTGATGTTGTCACCAATCGAGATGGATCGCCGCTTTCGCGCGCTGCGCGAGGTGATGTTGCTCGATGAGATGGAACTTCCCTTTCGCGCTCTGCGCGAGGTGATGTTGCTGCCCGATGGGATGAACGTCCCTCCACAACACCAGCCGAGTCCCGTGAGCTCCTGCCTTCCACCCCTGTCGGAGTTTCCGCCGAAGATCGATCAGAACGCCTTGGCACTGGTGCCACTGAAGAAGATGTCAACCGAGGACGAGACGCCGAAGTTGGCTCAGAATCACCAGCAGGCCTGTCCCTCACGTCAGCCTGCTCTGGGACCCAAACCCACCTCCACTCACCCCTAGCACCCGGTGCCGGTGGTGGTGGCTGAGGTGGCTCCGGAGGTGCCCGACCAAGTTCCTCTGCTGTAGCAAAATCGATTGCTGAAGACACACCGCGGTTGTACCTGCTCAATTGGCTGGACCTCCACGGGTTGCCCCCTCGTCTGCCACGAGTTCGAACTCTTGATCGGGAACGGTCACGTCTATGATCAGACATGCAGTCGCGCCAATGGCGGCGAAGGATGGGAAAATTGTCGCGCAAGCGCGAGTGAAAGATTGAAGGTGCCAATGAAAGAACAATTCAGTGATCTATGCAATTGAAGTCTTAGATTTCTTGCCGATATGTTCAGTCTTTCAATAGCTCCCAATTGATCTCACAACTGCAGAAATAAGCCGGGCTACGGCTGATAACCACAAAATTCCAGTAAATCCAGTGAATGCGGGGATTGTACCAGAAGTAATATTCACGCGTATTCAAGATGCAGTAGTCAACAGATGTAACAATGGCCAGTGACACTAAGCAACAACACCTGTTTTAGCGGGCACCTTGAGCCAAACGTTGTTGGCCAAGTAAATGGTTTGATGACCAAAACCCCGGATTACAGGATTAAGGAAATGAGTTATCATTGTTAATAACTATTTGAATAGTCTATTCCCGTTGTAAAAGCCCTGACATTATGTACACTCTACAGTCAAAGGCAACAACAATATAGTGGGCTCCGTTTTGGGACCACTATGTGGTATGAACATGCATACACGGCATAGGGGTTATTCGAGTATTTTCTACTAATATATTATATATTATATATAATATATATTTTTTTCGTCCCATAGGTATGGTTTGTGAAAAACGGATGTAAAACTAACTTAGAAAGGCAGGTGCCATACCCGTAGGTTCCCGGCAGCATCGTTACCCCTCAGTATAGGAATTCCTTAAAGTAGAACTATAGATTAGTTCGACTTAGTTACGATGTCCAGGATATAGCCTGGTAGGAAATCTTGCTAGATTTCTTTGTTAATAGCTGCTTGCAGTATTTGAGCAAGGTATGCATTGGAGTTGTTGAAATCACTTTGGTCATCACGAATTTTACGCCATATCATAGTCAAGGTGGTTTGTGTCCATTGTTTCCTGGGTCTGCCGACCCGTCGAAACAGTATCTCAACAGGTGCGGCAGTATCTTTTTTGAAATTGACCATTCTCATAGGGCTGTCATTGTCTTGTCTCAAAATTTTCGCTGCAAATGCGATGCGACGATAGGCCAAAATGTCCTAAATTGGTTCAATTTTGGTTCCATGATGGTTCGCTGCAATGTGTAAGTTTGCTCTTCTGAAAACCTCCTCATTTGTGTTTGCACGATTAATGTAGGTCGTAGTCATGCCTAGAATTTCTCGCAAATATATAATATATAATATATAATATATAATATATAATATATCATATATAATATATAACATATAATATATAATATATAATATATAATACATAATACATAATATATAATACTTAATACATAATACATAATATAATATATAATATATAATATATAATATATAATATATAATATATAATATATAATATATAATATAATATATAATATATAATATAATATATAATATATAATATATATAATATATAATATATAATATATAATATATAATATATAATATATACTATATAATATATAATATATAATATATAATACATAATACATAATACATAATATATAATATATAATATATAATATATAATATATAATATATAATATATAATATATTATATAATATATAATATATAATATATAATATATAATATATAATATATAATATATAATATATAATATATTATATATTATATTTTAGTATGTAATATATTAGTATATAATACATAATATATAATATATAATATATAATATATAATATATATAATATATAATATAAAATGTATATAATATATAATGTATATAATATATAATATATATAATATAATATGTATAATAATATATAATATATAATATATAATATATAATATATGATATATAATATATAATGTATAATATGTCATAAATATATCATATATAATGTATTATATATGATATAATATTAGATAAATATATATATATATATTCACAAATACTAATATAGATAGGCACTTTTTAGCTATTATAAATAAACATATATAAGTCTTCAATTTCTCTGCAATTGTTTATTATGTGTTTTGTCCTTAATTTTGAATATTGTCTTATTTCATCTAAATCATCTGGTCATTGATTATAGCGTATATTTGTATTAGTTCCTCTAAATGCTAGTATTTTCTGATGAATTGTTGAAAATTACTAGATTCTCTGTCCTCATTATCTTAAGGATCAATTGATTTTTGCTTTATCTTTTGTTCCCCTTTTGATGACAATTTCATTGAAAATGCGCAGAAAAAGTTGTCGCTCACAGTGAGGTGCACGATCATGGTCGACATAGATCTGAATGAGTTTGCACATGGAGAAAAATCAAGGTGCCAATGTGAAGCACGATAACACCCCGATAAGACCAGGCATCCAGCTGGGAGGAGAGGGCCACGCATCTGGCCATGCCCCTGGATGTACTCACCATGAAATCCCTCAAGCCTTGGCACAAAGCCATAGATTTCTTGTGCCATACCGAGTGTTGATGCAACATGGGCTGAAGTCCGCACGCAAAAGAAGACCACGCAGCAAGAGTTTTTGCGCTTGGATCTCTCCTGGATCGTCAGTGTCAAATGGGTCTGAAAGTAGGGCATCCCCAAATCCACTGGTTTATCACCATTCTTCCATTATCATATCTGGCAGATACCCCTTGTTCAAACAAAACCATTTCAAGTGCTTGGTCTTTGGCTCAAATGCGCTTTGCACCTCAAGTTCGCTTTGCTGGATTCCAGTTGGCGGCGCACTTGAAGTTGGCCTGGAATGGGAACAAGCTCAAGCTGCTAGTCAGTTTGAAGTGGTCAGCATGGGCAGCAGTCTCTCTCGCCGCATGGCGCCCGTTTTTCCAACAAGAACGAGCGTTGATCTGCCGCACAGGCAAAGTTGGCACTAGTCATGGCTTGCCACGAGCCTCAGTGGTTGAAAACCCTGAAGGTATAAATTTGAAGCCCCTGTTCAAGTCTTCCAACATTTCCAACCCTTGTGCGCAGTCAAGCGTCAGCTCGAGCTTGCGCCAAAGCTGATTGTCCTTCGCACAGCGAGCTGTTCTGTTCAGTATCTAGCTCAAATATGCTGAAATAGCATCCCAATGAACAGCAGTTCAATCAAGCAGCTCCTCCTGGTGTCAGTGGAGAGGATGGTGGATTCTGACTGTTGGCTGCGTGGGCCGCCTGCAACGGTTTGACGGTACTGCTCATGATTTGCAATAGGCTGGTATTTCATCGTTTCGTTGGAGATTTCGTTGAAGATTTCATGGCAATCCTTGTGGCAATCCATTTTGCCAAACCTTTTGCCACAAAAAAATGATCGTGAAAAAATCGTTGAAATTTCGTCACAGATTTCGTTGCTTCAACTCAAGTTCCAAAGAAATTCTGACGAAATCCTAACGAAATTCTGACGAAAGAATTTGTGGCAAAATCTTGTGGCAAAACGATTTGCCACAAAGCACCCGACGAAAAGTCTAACGAAATTCTGACGAAAGAAACAACGAAAGAAAATCTTTATACCAGAAAATATTGCAATTGGTAGGTAATCATGGAGGAGTTCTATCACAATGTGTGTATATACATATATATATAGAGAGAGAGAGGTATATTATATATATATGTACTGACATGTCCACACTTCCGACACATCCCTAGTTCAAAAGAGCCTGCAGGAAATGGATTGCTGTGGCTTCGGAGGCAGTCCTGCACAACTTCGCAAGAAAGTGCTGCAAAGTGCTGCAAAAGCCTCGCAAATTCCCACCTCTGGTCTGCCGAATTCACCAAGTCAGGCAACCTTCGCCGAAACACGTCGAAACACTCAACGCATCGTCCCGGGAATGGTCAGTGTCCCATCCAAAAACACCAAGCAACTGAGGCAGCAAAATCGCTGTGTAGGATCTGATGAGGTTATGGGCCTGGGCCTGAAGCACAGAATTCCACAGAATGGATGGCGTATTTTTTTTGCAAGGAAGTTCACGTGAAAATGAAACGGGTGTGTCTAAAGAAATTATGGGAGGAAAAATGTAATGTTTAAATATCTTTAATAGTTTTTCATCATTGTCCTAGATTAAAATTGCTATTTGGGGGTTACACACAATATTTTTAGACAGGCCCATATCCTTCATGGAGTTTGGAGAACTTGCTCAGGATCCTTGTTGATCTTCGACTTCTGCCCCTTCGTCTTGTCCTGACTTCGTATCTCTGCAAGGCGGCTTTGCACCTGCGCAGCCGGTCTAGGACCCTAGGACCCAGACGTTGTTGAACAGTAGGCACAACATTCCATGGTTCATCATAGCTTCCCCATGAAAACAGCCATAAAGTATCATGGGATATCATGGGTACCCTGCTTTGAGACAACTCCGAATTCTCTGGTGTCTTCTCTGCCTCTTCAATGCGGCTGCGCAGCTCATCGCAGGAAGTCAAGGCTGCCTGGACCGGCCAGCAGGAATTGCATGACTGGATCCCATGGATCAAAAATGTCTGGTGCCACTGTTCAAGATCAAACAGATGGTAGTAACAAATTCACACATGCTAATCCCAGGAAGAGGTATCAATTGGTATCACAGGTTTCGACTCCCCAAGAGTCTGTAGAATCTGTAGATATCGGCTGCCTCCACTTCCAGCGCAGCTGAACTCACCCGGAGTTTTGCCTTGAGATCCTGAGCTGACAGCTTGGAGCTGGGGAAGATCGACTGCCCATGTGGACAATTTGGGTACCAAAGTACCTAGTATGATTCAACAGTATGATGTTGTATGGTGCAGTCCGAGGATCTTGATGGACCCGAGCCTCCTCAGGTTGCATCAGATTTCGGACAGAAAGAATAGAAGCAACTCTTATGCCATCGCTTGATAGAGTACTCCTCAACTTGGAGAGTCAACATGTGTTTTTGCTCTCAGCTCTCCTCTTCAGCCTTGGATTGCATGGCTGCCGCCTGACCAAGATCACCTTGAAGAAGTGAGTTGATGACTTCCCAGACCTCACCCAGTCCAATGCTCATTTCCCCACAGAAAGCCTTTCAAGATGGATGAAGACAAAGGACTGGAAAGAATATCTGCACATCCCCACTAAAGCAAAGTGAAAAACCCTTGAGGATCAAACTTCCGGAAGGAGTACTTCAGCTCCCTTCGTCAGATGCATAGAGCGCTCATCTGCATCATAGAGAGCTGATTTCACCTGAGGGCCACGATGAGCCGCAAGGCTTCCGACACCTTCTACCATCTTCAACATAGATCAGACAATGACAATCTCCATGCCAATTGGCTTCAACAAGCCTGCATGAGTCTGCAGCCACCTAGCACTTCTGCATGATACAACGACACCACCAGTGATACCCAGCCTGGGACAAGGTCTTCAAGGACTTCAGCAACAGCCTCCGGTAGTCCTGGACTGATGCCTCCACCTCCGCTTTCTGCCTTGCCAGGCCCTGATGCCAGGCTCGGGCGCCTTGGGCGCCTTGGGCGCCATAGCCGCCTTGGGCGCGCGGCGCTGCACTGGTGCTGGCAGCTGGGACCATCTTGCGTCGTGGCTCATCGCGCACAGCACTACTCTGGCTGACTGATGGACCTGCCAAATACTCCTCCGCTCGGCGTCGTGGACTTTTGAAGGTATCACTGGTAGAATTGCTGGCGGTTCGGAACCTGCAGGCTTTCGTGGAGAGGAAAATTCGGAAGAAATTTAAACAAAAAAATCAAGTATCTTTGGAGCACGATGAAATTTCTACTCGCTGCATCTCGCCTGGGGTGCTTCAGGTTGAGTTCAGCACTGTCTACTGCAGCTTGTGCGGCTGACCGCGCATCGGAAGCTATTTGAGCTCTTGCGGAGGCTGCAACATGAGCTGATTGACCTCGAAACTTGCACACAGCTTCACGATCAGTCAAGTAAGACCGTCTGCTTACATCCTGCATTGAGACTGTCGCAGCTCGTTGCATTTACTTCAAAATCTTGAGACAAAATGACAAATTCGACCAAAGACTAAGCACATGAGCAATTGTTTCACAATAGGTTGATTGACAAAATGAAGTGATATTCTAGTCCCTTTGTTTACTTTGTTTGACATCATGATTCTCGAGCCACTTATTGGAAACTAAAGGAGTGAACTCGGTGAACTCCCAAACTGACCTGAGTTCATCCAGTTTAAACTAGAGAACTGGTCGCCAAAGAAACAAATGAATACAATTGAACGCAGCGCCCCCATTTCAAGCTGTGGCACGTGGGCGAGAAAACTCATCTCCCTCTTGGCTGATAGTGCCTCACCGGTTGGCAAATGGTCAGCTCATCCTATTCCCCTGTCCACATCTGTCCACATCTGTCCACATCTGTCCACATCTGTCCACTTCCAAATGGTTCACTGCCTTCTACCTGTAGTCCGTTGTGGGAATCTTGCAGCCCACATTGGGAAAACAAGCCCCGCCTGAAGAACTGCTACACAAAGTGACATCGCCAATTGGTTCCTGGGAACCAGCAAAGTGGTGGTCAGTTTCAAAAGTCGATGACCTCTTTTCATCCCATCTCTGATCCACGCAGCCCAATAGTTCCTTATATATATATATGTATAGAGCATCAAGAAAGCAAACCGGGCAACACCAACACTTGGATAAAATGCAAAGTTGATCACAGCTCCCGTTTCTTTGAATTTTGAAGCTCGAGTTTGTCCGGTTGTCCTGTCCTCGTCTAGTATTCAAAACAGAACCATTTTGGAATTTTGGAGTCACACCATTTTGGAATCACTCACCGGAAGCCTTGCAGGATAAATTCCAAGACCGCATGGATTGATCCAATATGTGCGAGTGTGGCACCCGGACAGTGTCCACTTAAGAAGCGGTTGAGCAGCTTGAGAAACTAATTATGTCCGTTCAAATGGCAACTCAGATTAAACTTGTGTGATTCGCAAGGGCAGTGTGCAAGAAGGACAATGACCAGCCATTTTTGTACAAGGTGTGGGGTTTTTATCCAAGAATGACAATTTCAAATTTACGGAAGAGAAAGTAAGACAATCCAATCCATACCAAGGATCTGGCATCTCTGGCATCTCCACATCCAGATTCCCACCAAGCCGCAGCAAGTGCTCATCAGTGGAGAGTCTGGAAGAGCTCTGCTCATCTTGTCCATCTTGTCCATCTTGCCCTTGATCATCAGATGGCCCCCTCTGATCATTGCCACTTTGTGGCGGGGATGCTTCGCCAGAAAACTCAGCTCCACTGGGCAAGTGCAAGCGACTTTCATTCTCCAGCTCCCCAGTGCCGTCGATGTCGTCGGTCATGGCAGTCTCATCTGTCATGGGCACCACCTTGCAGCTGGCTGCTCTTTCCAGGACTTTGAAGCAGTCCCACACAAGTCTACTGCACAAGAAGTCCAAGAGCTAAAATACGCTAAAATGAAGAATTGCTGCAGCAGAGGTACCTTGTTGCCGCAGCATTCCACGACCGAATGATGCTTGGTGATAAATGATTGGGAGGCAGAGACACTGTTGGAACATCAAGACTGCTGTTCTGGTCTTTGGCATGCATATTTCTGGTCCAGCTTGAAAGTGCCAATCAGGTGCTTGCAGCAGACTTCAATACTTAAACTTTAAGGGACTTGAGCCGTGCCTTCGGATGCAAGCATTGAATTCCCCAGAGAAGTCTCAGGCACCAAATCTGAGTTGCACCACATGATTTGCTGAGCACAAAGATGGAAAACGGCAAGAATTCCAAGTTGGGTGCACACTGTGGCACAGCCTTCTGCGATCCATCTGGACATCTGAGGAGTCTGCGGGCCGCAAGCAGCGGCTGCGTACAACTTGGATTCATTATTAATTGCCCAAACCAAAGAACAGTTCAAGTGAAATACAACACATCTGTCTTATGGCCTCCACTTCACCGTTGAGGATCAGTCTGATCACCAGTTCAGTCAAGCTTCCTGTGTAGGAAAGAATCTAATTGGGACCAAGGTAACCATCTGTGGGCTACTGGCCAACATGCAGAGAGAGAGAGAGAGGGAGAACTCTTAACAATCACGGTGCCTTCGAAGCCAAAGTACTGTTCCAGCACTTCGTCTGCAAGCCTTCATGTATTTGGATAATTTGGCGAAGGGATTCTCTGGGAAGATCGTGTGTGAATTGGAATGCCAAAAAGTCAGTCGCCATATCATGCGTCCATGATCTGTCCATGATGTGTCCATGGATTTTTTTGGGACCTCATTGGTGCCGTAGAGATGATCTTTCGCTGGCACAAGAGCGCAAGCCTGGCACATGACTCCAATGACTCCAGGGATGTTTTTAAGCGCGAAAACCTGGGAAGGGCGCCTGGCCAACGCAGGCTGCATGGAAGATGTGCATGCTGCCTCCGAAACTCGAAAGGCTCAACAGCAGTTTTCGGCTAAACCAAGACCTTGCTGAATCAAAAGCTTTTCATCGCAAGGATCTTCATCCATCTTCATCCCATTTCATCCCCCATTCCAGTTGCCCCAGTCGGTTTTGACCCATCGACCGCCTCCAGTCTGGTGCTGAAGGCATCGTGCGCACGTATCTGGTCCAAGGCGATGAGGCGACTGAGCCGGGCGACGGGAAGTGATGCCCATGTTGAAAAACACATTGGCATTCATGGGCAATGACCAAAACAATTGACTGATGATCCTAATGTTCAAAGGTGAAGTCAGAATGCAAGGTTTCACCGTTTTGAAAATCACAGAGGCAGCCTTCCAAGTTGAGGCTCCGGAAAACTGCTCATCTCAGGAATTGCCTGCAAGAAGCAAATGATGTCCGAGAAGTTCATGCACAGCGGCAAGTGAGTTCTCCCAGCCACTGTGCTTGAAATTCTCAGACCACAAATCTTGGTCAGGTTTTGGACCATGCCAATGTTGAGGATACACACATTGCGGACGTTGAGGTTTTCCAAGCATCATCCGGTCGCAAAGGGTCTTGTGCCCGCGAGAAAGCGAATCAACAGCGCAAATATACACTACACTCACTACACGTTAGAAGTCATGAAACATCATTGGACAACTTCAAGCAGATTCTTCGCTCGAGGTGCCTTGGACGGAAGCCAACCTCCCACCATGTCCCACCCCTGTGCCCCAACAACTCCTTTGGATTGCCAAGCTCCTCGCAGCCCTGGTGATTGTCGATGATCTGTCAGCAGCATATCAAAAGGTTCATGTTCGAAAGTGCAAAGTGTCTTGGCCCACATGTCACTGCTGCCTCCCACTCAAATTCCACCTTCTGGTGCCAGTCTACCTGCCACCATTGGCTGCACCGGGGCAAAATGAGCCACAATCTTCAAACAAACCCAATTGCACTGACCGATCCCAACCTCTGCTTCACCCGCCACGGTGATGAGTGCCTGGTGTGTTCGCTTGATTTTGGGAGGCAATACTTCCGGATGCAATGCAGTTCCAGTTGGATACATAACCTCAAGGCTATAGGGGTAATTCTATGGCTATATCACTTAATAAGGTTATGCCGATATTATCCCAACTCTTGGGAGCAAGTGCCCTCTGTACATCTCTGTACAAGGTTATCTCCATTGATGACCTCAGCTGCCCCCCCAGTACTCACCACTGCAGGCATCTTCCAGGCATTGCCTCCCGACAGAGGTAGAACTCCTCTTGAATCCGAAGCGTGTCCATCCCAGGCCTCACGGGATCCACGGCAACGGCCGAGTTCAATCGATTTTGGAATGACAAGGCAACCGCGGCAACCGCGTCAACCGCGGCAACCGCTCTCCTGAATGGATTCTCCAGCAAGATCGCCTCAGGAGACCATGACAACAGCAAACTGCAGTGAAAAACTGCGCGAGAAATCTGCAGCCAAATCACCACATTGAGAAGGGCAACAAGTGTGGTTGAGAGAAGGCCTGCTATGCAAGATGTGTCATTTTAACAGGTTGAGGATGGGAAATTTCGTTGAGGATGGGAAATTTCTCAGGCAAAATCAGAAAGGTGAAGCGATTTTGCCACCTCTAACCGACCTTCAAAAGGAATCTTCTATATTATATCAAACATATTGTCAAGACCTCATTGGAGCAGCTCTGCGATTGGGGTTTACACCGTCCAAGGCTCATGAAGAATCTGTGGGAGCGTCTTCCGTTCAACTCACCAGGACTGCACTTGGAACATTTTGGTGCTGCAAACATGCCAGGTTGGCAGGAAAAGATGCATGCAAATATCAAACGCCCACGAATAATCTCTCCGTCGGTATCTTGGTTGCACTGTTTCACTGACTGCAGCCTGGGACTGGAAATCACGCTGCGCTTGGGTGCACACTGCGTGCCAGGTGCACATAGTATGGCCTTAATAGCCCAGCAATTCCGCAATGGAATTAGTTTGATGACAAGTTGGCACTGTTCACACAGAATCGAACCCACAAGGTTTTTTTTGGCCACTTTGGAAGATATTTGTTGGAAATGGTCATTCAGAAAATCGTGCACTTAGCGAATTAATGTCACCCTTGCTGTTGAGTTCATTAACACTTTGCAGGTAAGGAGCCCAAAAAAGAAGGGCATCAACTGGATGTTTACCTTAGTCCAGCATTCCGCGTTGATCAGCGATTCAACAAGTTCTTTATTGCCGTTCAGAGGATCACGAAAGTGATCGTGCATTAAGTCAGAGAAAATTGTCTGAAAATAAGAAGCAATCGATCCTGCACAACGGACAGTTGACACCAATGCGACACAATAAATCACTCACAAAAAAATCAGTGACTTCTTGAGGCCGAGACCCTGCAAACCGCTCTCAAAGTTGTGGGCGTTCGGTATGTTTTGAAGCCTTGGTGTGCGGGATAATTATCATGCAGAAACACTCAGGAAACTCGGAAAAGTTAGCAATATCTGATTTTGGAGTTGAGGTCCACACTCCACAGTTTTTCAAAGTTCCTGCTGAGGAACATGTTGTACTGATTGATGCGACTTGCCTCGAGTGTCTGCCCAAGGTGCCACCGCATCTGCAAAAGCAAGAGATGTCCCGGGTCCCGCCTCGTTCGCTGGCATGCCCGCTGCTTTGAGGTCCTGCGGCACCATTGGCGAAGAAATAATCTGTGTGAAAATGTTAAATGTGTATCTGTATACATTTTGCATCATTCTCCCATATTGGCATATCATTATACAATCATTGGCCACTAGACATACTTGTACTAGACCTGTGTATCAATATCTGTATGTTATACGTATATAATGTCTTAGATCATGTATTCTCCATCTGCAGGTCATTGACACCATTTTGGAATCCATATTGTCAGGCCCGCAGGCCTCAACGGCCTTGTGCAGGCGTGCCAAAAGTTTCAACCTTGTGGAAAATGGTCTTGGGGAAATCTGATCACAAGGGTCTGGTCTGGCTCAAGTTGATAAACCCACATTAAGATACACTAAGATGGGTCAGTGCATTTATTCCAAACATGACAGAAATCATGTCACTGTTGAAGATTGTAGAGCATCATTAGACGCGGTTACTAAGGCTGCTACACTGCATTTCTACCCTTCATCTCAGCTGCCTGGACAGGGAATATTCGCAACACGTCCTTCCGTGGCGCATCCGATGAATCTGTCCGGCCTCAACCTGCTCCTTCTCGGGGGAGAAGCAAACACAAAACTCCTGACCTCATCCCATAATTTGTGGTCCAGTTTCTTTTTGGAAGGTTCAAAGGCCGGCTCAATGAATGCAAAAAAACTCATTCTCATTTAGATTCTTTCGCGCATGAGATCTTCAAGACAAATGGAACTTATCGTCTTGGCCGAGCCATTGGCGACCTCTTCCTCTTCTTGGGACAAGCAAAAACTCCTGCGATGCGTTTGCAAGAAAAACAATAATCCAGATCTGTCGATCGCTGCGGTCCTGCATTGCATCCATTAATCTCAACATGATCTCCAACACCTCGAAGGGTCACATTGACCATCTGAATCTGACGTGTTTCTGCTTGGACAAGTGGATATATCCTTAATTGTTCACCAATGTAATGTGTATATTATACTGATTTATACTGTACACTTTGTAAACTGGGGCAAGCGCTCGATCAGCATGCCGCTTGTTGAGCGGAGTGTCCTTGAAGGCCCTCAGCCAAAGAAACAGATTCCCACCACAAAATGAGTTCATTTTGCCCTCCTGGCAAGATCGATGTCGCATTGGGAATTGGATGAAACATTGCCAAATTACGAGTATATGCATTTCCATACTATAAAAAGATGTCGTCAAAATCTGAGCCAATGACCCCTTCTTGATGCCCTTCCCGCCTTGGTCTTTGGGCCTCACTTCCATGTCACTGCAAAGGCAAAGGTGGCAGCTTGGCGATCTCAAACCCCTGCACTGTTTGTGGAAGCCTCGGTTGCTGGCACGTTGTCTTCAAATCTCCCATACCATCCGTCTGCCTCGGTGGGTTGAACATGCAAAGGAAGTTCGGTTAGGGTGTAGACCACCACAAACTCAAACACTGCGAAAAAATCCTAAGGTCCCTGCGCCGGGCCAATCCCAAAGCTGATTGGCTAGGAACACATTCGTCCTGTTGCCGTGGCCAGATTGGGTTGGACCGTTGGACCTATGTCTCACCCTCGCAGGGGATCCGACGAAGTGGCTCGGAACTCAGCCAACGCCATAAGGGCAGCCTGCCATCAGTTTCTTCTTGTGGATGGGCGGAGTCGGTACGGGCCAGACTATGGATCCTTGGATAGACTCACAGCTTTGGGCCCAGAATATGTTCAACTTATATACCTCATATAGTTTCTCTAAACTCTAAACATACGTAACACCCAATATATCAACATGTATGACCATAATAGACTGTAAAACTGTATAACTTCTTGGAAAATATAATACCATTTGTAGTGTGCAGCCATTTGTAACCATCTATAATCATTCCAACCATACATAAACCCTCCTACGAGTAGGATACCATGGCTTGGCCACGGCCTCTCGACGCTTGAAGGCCTCCCTGATGGCCGTCTGCAATGGGAAGACCAAAGAAAAACTCACTGCTGTCCACCTCAGCACGAAATCACTGGCTGACTTTTTGGATTAGGATTAGGATTATGTAATATATTGTAATATGATATATGATAATATAATACAATTGGATGGTTCCCAAAAAATCGGAACAGTTGGCGAGTAAAACGGTAACCCACCCAGTGCCCACCCAAGTAAACAGCCCAGGGGTGTTATTAATCCAGGGTTCAGAAAGACGCCAGAAAGACAATAGCAAGACAACCACAACTCTTTGCGAAGCTCTGATAACCTCATGTCTGCAATTCGTTTCATCTGTTTTACCTTGAAACAGCTCAAAGGCCATGCAGCAAGGCACAAGTGTTTGAAAGTCCGAAACTGTAGGATCTTCATACTGGAAGCGTTTCTGGACCTTTCAACTTTGGGTAGATTACGCGACTGTTGCTTGCACTCTCTCTGACTTAAACATTAAGACAACCTGCCGGAAAGTTCTGAGGACACTGCGTTAAATTCATGTGGAGGTCGTTCAAATATGTAACGAAGCAAAGGACACTGAGCACTGCCTTAGGAGACATGCAGAAGTGTGCAGAAGTTCCTTGTCAACTCATTAGGGAGGCGAGACAAAGGAACCGGTCTGGTGAACCCAGCTCCTGGTTTCGCTTTGACTTTTTGCCACCAGCGACTGCTCTTGCTGTGCAGATTGTTGTTCTATACCAATGGTATCCTTTGCTTCCGTAAACATCTGTGTTCAAGTTTGTCAGGGTATGGAAATGCTGTCACGGAATGGCTAGTTTGAGTCTTGGACAGTGATATTCACGATGAGGGTGTCGGGGCTTGCCATGAGGTTCAGCAAGACACAGAAACTCGAAACTTGGTCAAGGCCATGTTGACAAAAGATGACGAAAGAGGATACCACAAAAAGGACAGCAGTCTGAGCTAACAAGGGTCACACTTACAATAATTTCTAAGAGGTTTGGTGCAGTCCAAGCTCGAGACATTGATCCAGGAGCATGGCTAACCACTGCCTGTGAAGCTTTCGGCAACAGGTTTTGGGATGCCGAAAAAAAAGTGGGAAAAAATCTGCGCCAGCCCGCGCCTTGGAACCCAAACAGTTGACGCCAGCAATCCGCGACTCACAAAGTGCTTGAAACATAAGGTTCCTGATAGCAGCAGACTGTGGGGTGAGAACGGTTGGAACGGTTCGCGGCCATTGTTGGAAAAAGTCGTCCTGGCTCATGTCGCCGACCATTCTTTTCTGGTTTCCTGTCAAACGTGATTGAAAAAGTGAAAGGCACCGCAGTTTCTCCCACGGCCAATGCTGGCAGGACTCTGTCCTCAGACTTACCCTTCCGGAATCTACGTGCATTGTGCCTCTCACCTCAGCCCACGAGAAATCCCATCATTTCAACTGCATGCAGCACTGCATGCATCATTTCTGGACTATCTCTGATGCAGCAGGCTCGAGCTTGGAGCCAGACCTCTTTGGATGAGTTGAGCAGAAGCTTACAAATGAGCTGATTGCTTCCAAGCAAGGGCAAAGGGCTTCAGCTGTTTGATGAAAAGTTTGGTTTCCACGTAAAAAAGCAAGGCTGCTTGTCTGCTTGTCAACATGACTTGTTCCATCTAGGCGAACCCTGACTCCAATTTACTGAGCTGTCCCTGTAGCCCATGTGCTTGGACGGCAAGGTTCCGAGCAAATCACAAGGCAGTGGCAAGAACATGGAGTTACATTTTGAAAAAAAAAACTTTGCCAAAATTCCATTTTCATGTATGGGAATGTAACTAAAATAGAGTACAGTTGTTTTGCAGGTCCCTCTCAGCCATGCAATCCGTCCCAACCAGCTACCCTTGCAATCGAATCCTAAATTAGAACTGAATTTCAACTTTCGTGACAAGCTGAACATAGGGGCCTCTTCAAGCAAGCGGCGTGCCAAACGCGTTGCTGCTGCACCTCAAAATCAAAGACATGCAAGAGTGGACCCTCGAGTACAGCATGCAGCAACCATCGTGCGCAACGAGCTCTCAGTGCACTTCAAAATGGTCACAAAGGGATTCACTAAGATTGCCGGTGTTTTTTCGACTTCAAATCGTGCAAATGGTTGGGGCTAGCACGGCTAGCACAGTTCTCGCAAGCATGAATGGCATAGTAGTACCTGATCTTGCTTCTGAAGGTTGGCTTCTGATGCAAGCTCTGACCATTCAGCAGTCTGACACTTTCACAAGGCCCAAGCGTGAAGTGGTTAGGCTGCAGCCTCTGAGAACTGATTGCCTTCCAGCTGCCATCAGCACAAAGTGATGTTTTTCGCAACGTGTCAAAGAGGCAGCTGCTAGGCCTGAAGCAAATCCACGGCCGTCAGCCAGCATCCATAGCATCCATGTCCGCCAGAAGTCAAAGCATCCATTGCCTCAGCTTCTGTGACACGTGTCCACTGGCACGTAGCCACTCACCAACCAGCTGAGCCACTGCGTTGAAGGTGACGATGCTGGGCCTACGTTATTGAAGATTCAGCTGTTTTTTGCTGGGAAATGAATGGAAAACCAGGGGATACATACCAAATTTCGGAAACCAGATCCTCGCCTCAGCCTTGAGGACACTACTTGTTCCAATAGTTCGATGGCCTTCGGGCCCCCCCACTGAGACTTGGCGCAGTTGCGAACAAAACGCACCTTGCGCACCTTGTTGGGAAGACCACTTTGCCCCAACATTGTGATCAAGGCCTAGGTCCCAGAGTTTTGGCAGTGGAACCACTTCCACAGGACCTCTCTCCTACATACCCATCAACCTCGGTAGCTGGCATTGTATGATGCCACCGCTGACTCGCTGTGGCTCTGGAAGACTGGCACCGAAAGGAGTTCCAAGCACCTTGCGGAGTGGATATTCAAAAATCTTTAAGAATAAACAAAACTGAATCGACCTCAGCACGTCATCACTGCACATCGTTGGACTGGAACTTGCGGAGAGGCTGCAACTGATTGAGAGTCTGCCAAAGCAAAATGCAGCAACACAGCACCTGGTCCATGCTTTAGCTTGTGCCGAAGCAGAAACCACGGCTCCCAGAGCGGCTGCATCTTGGTAGTGTCTGTCCTCCAAGGAAGAGCTGCTAAATTGGAGGATATTGGAGGATGCATGGATGGATCATAATACATACCGCATGTACAGCATATACCGTTATATCCTTCAAATTTCAAATAATAAGCAAATGCATACCCCATGGCCAAAAGGTCAGATTGGGGACTGAATGTCTTTGCCAGGTCTGCCCAGAAGATGTCAGTGCTCAGAAAAAGATCCTCCAAGATCGAAACGAGGGATCGCCAGCTCCGACCTCTACCAGCTGCTATGGCCAGTGGGTTGACTGTCCCCGGACCCACTTCGAGACCAGCAAAACGCACCCGCTGGAGCTGCAACGTTGCCCGCCATTGATCGTTACCTGCAGGGCTTCATAGGAATGCCGGAAGGGTCAGGTTCAGCACAAATTTCTTGGAAGACACTACGAATTGAATACTATGACACACTGATCAAGTATATCCAAAACACATGTTTTTGTATCGCGAAAATGTTCAGCAACCGCTGCAAGCGCATCCCGTTCAGTTCTCCCGCCTGCCAAGGCACTCAGGGCAGCATTGTGGATGGCAACATCTGACTCCACAAGTGAGGATTCAGCTTCAGTCATCACGAGCATTGACACTTCCCAAGCTTTGCCGCCAATGCTGGAGATGCTGGTGCAGAGACTGCGAGCTCCCTTGCTCAGCTTCAGAACAACTAGTGATAGCCACCACTTGCCATGATCTCCAAAAGCCTTCGTGGCAGCATTGTATCCGACTCCATCAATGGCCACCTGGACATTTGACGACATCTCTATGAGTTCAAGACACCAAGGCCAAGCCAATCCGCAAGCACCTCGAGAAGCGACTCGTCAACACTCAACGAAAATCTCAATTCACAGTGGAAGCTGGTCAAAAACACGTCAGAAGCAAGCAGCATACTCGATGGCTTTTGCTTTCTGTCTCTCTCCGATTTTGAGAGAGGCCAGCTCAGCAAAGTCTGCATGTTCTTTGCATGCTGGCACGTGCTTTGCATGCCCGAGCTAAGCAGAAATAGTGAGAAGTCACAAAGTCACGTTGTCGTGGATAAAATCTTGTCCAGGAAAGTGTGAATGCGGCCTGAGCAGCTGCTCTACTGAAGGCGAAATTGCATCTGAACAAGCCTGGATGTTAGATGTTTTCTTTAGAGGAAAGCTCTTTGGCCAAGATGTCAACAGCTGCAGCCTCAGCTCCAGACTTTCCACCTCCATCAAGCCTCGATGTATCAGTTGAACAACTTCACACATCTTGAATCAGTCATGTTCTAAGTGATGTCACTCCACAAGATTCAAGCAAAACAACATGAATCAAGTAATGCCAAACGAAACCAATAAGTGCAAACAAAGAACTTCCTCTAAGAAAGTGCGTCGTAACTCTAGAATCTCCTTGAAGTAGCATTGCCATCGTTTCAGGGGTGTCCGCCAGCAACAGCGTTGGGCAACTGTTGCTGGCAGCCATGGCAACTATGTAAGAAACATCTGCTCCAACACAAATCAATGCATCAGCCTCCCACAGGGCTGCAGCAACAATGGCAAACTTCTGAGCTTCAGCCTGCGTAGATGATCTGATAGCCAAAGAGGCGGGAAGAATCTCACCTCTTCCTGCACAATGCCCATGTATGGAAGAGAAGAGATCATCACCACCACCCAGAATGAGGACCTGTAAGTGAGATCTCGGAGACATCCTGCGCCTTTCCAGGAGCTGATGCACCGAAACGGCCAGGAATGCATCAAGCATGGCAGGTCCATCCTTCTTCAAAACAGATCGCGCCGTGTCAGACGTAAACCACCGACGACGTCGGACACCGCTGCCTTCATAAGATGAATGGGGATCATGCCAAAATTCTTCAGCTTCATCTTCAACGCGCGTGACTCGCATGGAGAACAAATATGTCCGATTCTTGTCTTCAAAGACTCCAAGGAAACGCCCCAAGGGTCCAATTGCTCCACACTCTTCATAGGTTTCCCGAGAAGCACAAAGGGACACTTCCTCACCCGGATCCAAAGATCCAGCAGGAAAGGTCCAAAACCCAGGCGTATTGATGCCTTCGATCAAGAAAACTTCGATCTTCCCTTCGGATCCTTCCACCAAGCGCCAGGGCACAGTGCCAGCTCTAAGTTTCTTGCCATTGAGTTTTACAATGACTTCATCAGTTTTAGCCTTTTTCTTCAGCCCTCCTGTTGGAACCGCAGCGTTTGGATATGGGCTGCGACTTGTGGGCTCGGCCGAAGTCATGATGGGAGACTAGGCCAACGGAAAGCTGGCACTACAAGAGATACCCATGTTCTCACCAGGGTCACAACTCAATGTTTTGACTCTTGACCCGAATTTCTTGCACAAGGTCATCTGCAAACTCAGCAACGCTTGATGTTGCTTGCACAGCACAAGTGCGAGTGGTGGAATAATGTGGAAGATCATTGCATGTCATGAAAGATTGTCACGCCCTCGTAAGTTCTGCACCAATCGCTATGCAGAAACTGGCTGTGCCTGCCCGTGTGCCTCAGGAGAACCAAAGGAGATGTCATGAATTTGATCCAATGAGTGATCCATCAACCCCTGTCTTCACCTGTGCATCCAAGGTCAGCACCACTATGCAAGAGTTGTTTCAGAAGCTCCAGAGCCACAACCTGAAATGCGACGTCGCAGAATGGGGCATTGCAAATCATTGCAGCGTTGGTTACGACCTCTGGGCATCTTAGAGGCCAGCCCAGTTTTCTCCAGCAGCCAGGGCTGTGTTGAAGCCTCTCATTGGCTCCGGGAGCTGAAGCTTTATTCGGTTATCAGCGAAAGCTGAAAGGCTGCGGCCTGCAGTGCCCACAGCCTTCAAGGAGACGCCTTGCCGACATCTTAGAAACTGTGTTTTCATGACATCAAAACACAACACAGGAATGTCATTCCATCGATGGAAAAGAAACAAAGGGTCAACGCATTGTCTGCTTGACTGATCACACCAATCTCTTTATCCACATAGCACTGTTCCATGCTAGTGCCCACCAAAGCTATTTGCCTGCTATCTGACATCTCTCAAGATATTGACTCGCTGAATCTTCTTGCAACTAAGACAAAGATATTGGAGCTTCTTTTTCTTTGTTTCTATTTGGTTTGTTGGTTTGTTCAACTTTGTTTCGCTTGTTTGGCTGCGCCAACTTGTCCTGCCTCTCCATGGCTCTCCTTGAACTAACTGCACAGCCTCGCAATCTGATTGGCAAACAACTTGTCGTCTTTGATGCCCCAAAACAGTGTTGCTGTCATGTTCCAATAGACTTGTTTCAGCTCCCCGCCCACTCCCAAGCTTCAGCTGTGGCACAGGCAGCCATACCAGCCTTTTCGAAATAAAAAATTGGTCATCAATGACATGTGGCTACTTGGTGGCTACCTAATGTACCTAGGTATCCTAGGTGATCCTCGATTTACCTTTGCCCTTCATCTTTCCATAATTTGGATTCGGCAGGGCAGCATAAGCCAAATCCCATGATTCACTCACCCTGAGGATGCCGCGTTCCAAGTCACCGACACGTCTCCACCCTCCAAGCACCCAAACAAGGAGAGACTTCAAATCAGCTGCCCATTTTCCGCATGCCATGTCCGCTGGATTGAAACCCTAGCCTTTGGTCCGTACAACCAGGATGGTAACTCCCTTGTCAAACTCAGAAGAGATAGAGCTGAAACCTCATTCAGAATCTTACAGAATCTGTAATGCTTTTTCATCATGAAGGTATGTCTATCATCTGCCAGGATCATCTGCAAGGATGCACAAGGGCCCGTGCCCATTGCTTCCCCCTCTCCTAGAACATGTAGAACATGGGACACATAAGCAATGGATAGCAATGGAACATCGGAACATCTGAAAGGTAAAAATGCCAGGAGCACGAAGGCTGTCAATAGACCTCCTACTGTTGAGGCCGTTGGATGAAGACGTCTGGATGGCAAAGCATCAGTGAAGGATAAAGACCTGGTACAGAAAAACAGCAGTGGTGACCCCAACAAAGCGGATCGTTGATGATCTTTGCGAAACAAGTTCAATCTGATTGTGATGGACAGTCTTTCCGTACCACCTGCTCCAGCGAAAGGATTTGCCACATGCTGCAATGACGATGTTTTGCCTGAATCGTTTTTACATGCAGGTAAAGGGAGAAGTAGGCACTCCCATTTTCATGACACAGCACTAAAGAGAAAGGGGGATATGCAATGGCAAAAATACCAAGGCCCGATGCTTCCACATAATTTTGACTGAGGGTTTGGCAAAATTTGACTTTCCACTGCTCGAGCCAGGGACACCTCCGAAAGGATGTCTATGAAATTCGGGACCAGAGCTCTCAGTCCTTTTAAAGTTGCTTAGCCTGTTCACTATTAGATTGTGAGAACACGAACCATTAAGACAAATGATAAACCATTCGGATAAGACCACGTAAACACCATCCAGAACGTATTTCTGTAAGAACAAAGAAAATACCAAAATATGGCGATACAGATACATCTGATGAGAATATCCCAGATATGATTAGATATATATATATACATATCAAGGTTCAACAGTAGGAATCCCCTAGATCTGTTTGAAATCAATGTCTTAGTTTGCCTCTTCAAAATGGCACCGCATCAAGACTGGACTGGTATCGAAAGGCTGTATTTGCCACCGGACCTACACGGACGTGCAAGACCCTGGAGTCCTAGAGCCACATCCCCATGCACCACCATTTTGCTGCTGGGAAAAGGCAACGCAACAAGCCATCATTCTAGCTAGGTACAGTACTGGATCTTAATCGAACACTGCTTCCAGACTGGCCTTGAGACGTAATGGGAAGGGATTAATTATGAACCACAAAACCCTTGACTTTTTGGATCGGAACGGCATTGGTTTGCAGATCCTTGAATAGTCTGAATTTTGACATATCGGCATTTACATGCCGTCATGACTGACCTACCATCTCTTGCCTGAAGCAGTGTTAAGCAGGCCACCCACTGCGAGAGGTTCCTGCTCCGGATTTCAAAAACATGGGAGAGTTTCTCAAACGAAGGTTGTGCAGAGGTCACATCAAACTGCTGCAACAGGTCGCACGTCCGGCCTTGCCACTGCTGTCAAGGCACAGCCCGCTGTGACCTATCAAGAAATGACTGGACAAGAAGATGCAAGAAACGCATATTTCCTGTGATCCAAAAGCATCGCATCGCTGAACCTGAGTGATCTCCAATGATCTTGAGATGAGGCTGTCAAGAAGGGAAACTGCAAGTGCCTGAAGTGCAAATCTCAAGGCCCTGGTGTGTCATTTAGGACACAGTGTGTCATCCGATGAAGAATCCGTTTAGACAACAGTGGCTCCAAGATGCTCCAAGCACTTTCTGTTTTTCTGCTTCTCACCAACACAAACGCTCTTCCAGTCTAGCAAGGCCTTTGTCACAAGCTCCCAACAGCATTTTAGTCTGCTGTTTATCTACTGTATACGCTGTAGACGTGTTTGAACCCCAAGAGAACATTAACAACCCAGTAGTCATGTCAATACAATAGTATACAATAGTAACAATAGTACCCGCATGGCATGTGGTTTTAGACCGTGGCTGCACTTTTTGGAGATGCACTCTGAGCTTTCAACCCAGTGAACCGCTCTTAGGACTCCATGATGATTGGTGATGTCTGCCTCCAAAATCCCATCAATTCGCTGCAGGTGTCGTTACTATAGTTCTGCACTCAGACTCAGGAGATGAGGCGAGGAGAGAAAAACACAAAATTACAAGAAATCTGCATTTCTTCATTGGCAGTTGGCAGGAAAATGTTTGAAGCTTTGGGCAGTTCCACTTCGCACGGCTACAACAGAGCGTTTATTGAAAGGCCAGTCTTCACAATCACAGAGGAACACTGATCTCTGTCTGAACAAGACCTCGAAAAACGCCAAACAAACACTAAACAAGTCAAATGGCATAAGCAAGTGCACAGCACCTCCACACTTGCTCGTTGCAGGAGGAGCAAGTGCTGTACATCCTGCAAGCTGACACCAATGGGAGCTGGACTTCTATATACACACTATAGTCTCAGGATGTCTCAGGCACTTCTTGTCAAAAAGATCTACCTCTTTATTTACCCGGTCAATGGATTGGTTTAAGGGAAAGTCTACAGGAAACCATGGATTGTACCCCCAAATATAGAGGGTTTCTATGGTTTCCTGCAAATTTTTCCTTAAACCGATGTGATTCAAACGGCATTCCTTCTCCTGCCTCTTGCCAAGCGTCTCTTGCGCTCCCGCTGCATCCCACGCATCGTGCCATGGCGGAGCGCCAAGCCGCGAAGCTTTGGCTCCAAATTCCAATCGAAGTGGGCAAACACTCTGCCACCTTTCTTCTACCATCCAAACATCATCCTATCATCTTTTATCTATCAAGGTGTCGAATTGCGAGTTCAAGTTTCTGCTTGAGCTGCTACCTCTACATCGTTCTGGTCGGTCCTGAATGAGACTTGACCCACACTCTCAAATCGGTGAAGAGCAACGGGGATCGGTGCACAAAAGGTTGGCTACAAGGACAGTTGAGATAGCCATTGTGGGCTCATGCATTCGCCAAAGGGACGCCTTTTTGCAAATTGACCATCCATTAGGATGGGATCCGACACAATTACACCCAAACATATACCCAAAAGCTCGCACACAGCAGATTGTTTCTAACGTTTCTAATGGTCGTTGCTCAATATGAATTCTTTTTTGTTCTGATCTGATGTCTTGCTTCCTGTGTGCAATCCTCTGGGTAAAAATCTGGATCCACAGAATTGATGGCATCCTTTGGATGGCATCAGAGTTGAGCATTAACTGAAGCGGCTGCCCAATGTCCACCACTTCACGACTCCTTGAAGCTGTACCAACTTAGGTGCTTCCCAATCGTGAGTTCTGGCACCTGTGGTATACCTGTGGTCCTTGGTCCACCTCCTGGAGTTAGAAGATTACAATCGCCCACAGCAAGGTATTGCGCTCTTGGAGCACTCAACACATGGTGCTGGGCCGGAAGTTCCAATGTCCTCATTGTTGAAATTCTCAAGTTCTGGAAATGAGAGTTCAGGGGGAAGACTACACTCATTCTGCGGGTGCGCATCCTGTACACTTTCATTCGCGCTCGGCCGAAGAGATGTGGGCAAGCCACCCGTAAGCCTGGCACAGAAATAGAAACAGCTGTGCAAGAATCTGAATCCAAAACGATGTCCAAGTGGAGAAACCTCTCAAACCGTTCAAGGTCTTTCCAACAAAACTTTTACATTCCAGACGTGTTCAACTTTCAGTGGTTTCTGGAACCAACGAGAAACAGAATCTGATAGAAATTGGAGTGGCCAAAATTCTCGGCGCAGCACTCGGCACACTCGGAACTCAGGAACACTTGAGCAAACAAGTCACTGACCAAACATCAAGGACCGTCAAAGTCTGCAGTTGTTTCTTCCTAGGAAACTTTGTTCATTGGAGCTCAAACTGCAACAACCAAACAAGTATTACAAAATAACTGTATTAAAACGAATTGGATTTTAAAGAACTTTGTCACTTTATTTTCACAACACAGTTCTTTGAAGAAGAATGCCATGAAAATGCTCCTGACTATTCTTGATTGATGTCAAAAAGATTCTTGCACAAGGTGGTTTGCTTCTCAAAGGTGATAAGGGAAAGTGCTGCTTGCAAGTCGCCCGTCGGTTTGCCCATACATGAATCTTGATAGTGCAGTCATTCAGGAAAGGTAGCAAGTAGCTTCATCCAAAATCCGAGAATATCAAGATTGAATGAATTGGTTGCCGAATTCTGCAAAGACTGGGATCAATTCGCTGCGTCTTGTGGCATGATCTGCACCTCTCAATGGGTGTTGTTGCAGGTGCGGACGGAATGTGACCGGTGTCCTTCCAGGAGAGTCACAAGGCCCTGGTGCCCTGGGGGTGACAAGCCAATGGCTGTCCTGTTCAGGGTCACCAAGAGGTCCTGGGTATACCTCACTCTCCTCAATGGCCTCAGACAATGTGAACTGCAGCGTTAAAGTAAAAATGGATAAAAATGGATAAAATGGTATGTCTGGTATGCCCTGCATTGCAAGTGGGCTCCCTGCAGCTATCTTGAGTTGGCGCCGAATCAGGAACGCCGTGCCTCACAGCAACGTGCTGAATCCCAAGTTCCCAACTCTGATCCAAAGTGGGCAAAATCCCTAAGGACGGTGCCACAAATTACAGCGGTTAGCAGCAAAGCAGTGCACGCAATCAGAGCTGCTATTGCAGCCTCAGCTTGAAAAAAAATTCTCGACTGCCAGCGATGCAAAACACTGCACAAAGGACTCCAAAGGATCGAGGCGAAGACTGAATTGTCTACCTCACAATCTGGCGCACCAAATCAGCAAAGCTTCTAAGACGGGATGCTGAAGTAAATCTGTGGTGCATGGCTTGGCCCAAACATGTCCAAACCCTGATTCTCTAAGAGAGCAATTCCCCCCATATTTACCAAAATGATTCGCTATGCAGTGGTATGTTACTATGATTCCTATGTCACAGCTAGGGGCTCACCTGGAACAGCGCGAATAGAATGCAAAAGTCAACAAATGCTTGCAAAATGTCGCAGCTGCTGTAGAAAGCATGAAACAAAACATGTTATTCAACAGCAGCTGGCAGTGACCCAAACTGCCAAGGCCAAGACTTTCTGCTCATCTTCAATCACTCGTTCATAACCACCAGACGGAATGATCAGCGGGTCAACCGCCTGGAGTGATGGCATCCATAAAGATCATATAGGTACCACGGCATAGCACTGGAGCCATATTTCTTGCAAAACAGCTGTGAGCCACTGAGGCCCCGACAGTCTGCAGCCTGACAGAGCCGATAGAAGTGACCGATGCCTCAAAATCACAGTTTGCAGCAAGTTAATGCTGCTATTAATTGACCTCACTCACCAACTGTAACAAAGAGACGTTGCCTTCATTGCAGATCTTAGCATATCTCAATGAATCTTGACAGCACCCCTCTGGGCTTCCAGACAGTGAAATTCTGAAGAGAGCTGAAGCGATTTAAAGATTCCATGAGCAAGGCTGTGGCCTGTCAACAACCAACTCCACGATAAATGCAGCCCTGGTTCCCTGAATAGTTGTTAGGTCAAGGCACCGGTTTGGAACCACATTGCTGACAAGACTACTGGTAGTTGGGTTTGGGCCAACCAGACTTTATTCCGGAAAAATCACACCCAGCCATCAAAGCTATCAGGTTTTCTCTGGAGTTTTCCAGCTATGACACCTCCGTCAGTTTTGGGTTTTCTCGCCTGCTGGTTGGACAGAAGCTCGATGGCATTCTTTGCCCGTCCTCCAATGGCTTCAGCGCCCCCCAAGGATTCCGTGGCAGGCGTGGCAGGGATGACGATCACCTCGCTAACAGCTTGGCGGGATGAGAACGATCAAACATGATATGAGTTTCGTGGATACCACTCGTGGAAGAAAATATGTCACATAGCTGCCGCTTAATATTGAAGATGCCTTGTGACTATGAAACAAAGCTAAAAAAACGGTTCTCACTAACAGAACGAAGGCTGCCGCAACCAAAATCTCAACTGAGCCCACAGCATAGTCAGCCCTGAGGCTAGATTGCAAGCGCCGAAAGGTACTCAGCCGTCTTGACACACAAGCCTCCCCTTGCTGAAATAGGACGTCCTCACACACTGAATCGATCTGGGTCTTCAGAGAAACATAGTGCAAAGATGTGCAAAGTACCAAAAATGTATCTGATTCATTGATGGAATGCTGTGTATACTATATCATATCGCATATCATGTGTAATACACATAGAATGGCCGTCCTGCACATAAGCTGTCAGAACTTCAGGTCCGGCCGCGTTTGCCACCGCCTGTCTTTCACTCAGAGTTTGGGATTGTGACATATTTTGCCTTGGACAAATTCTCAGCTTGTGCAAGTAGCCAACCAAGCTTTGCCGATCTACTCACAACCAGTGATAGTGTTCAACCAGGAACAATAAACTTTTTTGCGACACGGTATCCACTCTAGGAGGAAAAAGTCAATGTAATATATTAATAAATGATTATTATACCTATTTGGGAGTAGACTCCCTACTTAACAGATTGTGCCTATCTGCGGTTGACATTCTCCAGCAAGGCAGCACCTCTTTAATGGCATCTTTGGCTTCAGGCACGGCAATGAAGACGCTTGGAGCGTTGACGGCTATTCCAAAGCCTGGCGAGCCGAGCTCGGGACCTCAAGCCTTGAGAAAAAGCTGGCAACTTACCCTTCCGAAATCCATCATGGCAAAGGGAAGGCCCCAAACATCCCCAAACTAAATGACGGTTTAATGGCGAAATCGAAATCATGTATAAACGGTGGATTTTCTGTTTCCCTGTTTGATGACCCGAGGGTAGCAACTGTTGTTCGAGACATGACCTGTGGATCTTCTCTGTGTGTGGCTTTCATTGAGACACCCTCTAAGAAAAGAAGAAACCCTTGGACGAGCCACATCCTCTCAGAACTGCCGAGATCGGAATGTACGAGGTAACCTGGCAGTTGGGCCGGTTTTAAGCAAGCAGTCTAGCATGCTGAATTTGCACCTTGAACAACCTTCCGGATCTTCGCACCCTTTGCACCTCCTCTCATCTGACAAACAAAGTTCAAGTATGTTCAACTATCATCCAATGTAAATCGCGCCAGTTCTGCCGATGTTGTTGAAAGAGAGGTGGTGGATAAGGTACTTGACGTTGTCTCCTTACATTTAAAACGGCATGCCCTCAAAACGTCAGCTGGTGGTAATGGCTTTACATGTTTTGGCCCAGAGGCTGTCGTCATGCTGGTGGTCCTGGAGGGCAGCAAAGACATATCTGAAGTCAAGATGTTCTGAAATCAATATGGGTATGGGTCAATACCTATAGATACATTTTTAGTGGGATGAACATCCATTTACCAGCTATTTTGGGGTTCACTAGGTACCAGGGTTTTGACCCATCCCCATATCATGTTTTAAGATCTTTAAGTCCAAGCAAGTCCAAGTTTCCAGGTCGTGATTGTTGATGTTGTGTTTGTGGTACCTGGCAGCTGCGCGCCATCGAGTGTTCCAACGCCACTGACAACAGGACACCATTGCTGACACTTCCGGACTAGTCTCGGCCAAGAAGCTCGTGGAGGTGAGAGTCGTAACCTGAGATCCAATTCCGCAAGACAGTTTGGTCTGAAAATGAAGGATTCATCCAAAATACCTATGGCCACATATGGCCACTTCGGAAAGATGATGAAAAACCATCAAATTTGGAGTACCCTTTCGTACAAAGCTAGTTTCATCCAAGCAGAGCTTTGTATTACAGCGGAACCATTTTATTCGCTGCGGGGCAGATGAAGTTGTACTTGTCGTTGAAGAGCTGGCTGTCGACGTGGTGGTGGTTGTAGTGCCTCAGGGCGATGCATCATGGACTCCGTGGTCAGGGTCCAAACCATAGCAGGTCAAGTGGGTCCCCAGCGCTCGTCAATGGGAATCAGGATTCCGGCAAGAAGTCGATCTTCCGCCTTGCTTCAGGTAAGCCAATTCGATGCATCCAAAAAGATATGGCGGATTGACTTGAGGAGCTGAACAACTCAAACACACTCAAATCGCACCTGAAAGGGCGTAATCATGAAGCTCATACGTTCCTGCCAAGATATAAGAGCCGACATGTCAAGCATTTTTGAAACGTTGCTTTAGAAACTGCCTAGCAATCTAGCACGCTCCAAATGGCAAATCGCAACTCAACAACTTTGACTCCTGAGGCAGGTCAAGGACGTCAAGCGTGTAGTTGTAGGCTGTAGGGTCACAGCATCCATTCTCTTGGACCCACGTCAACTTTGGGACTTGTCCAAGGTGTGCATACTGTTCACCACAGCTATCAACCAGCCAAATATCGTATCCATCCACCAATGATTCATCGATCTCACCATCAATGGCGTTGCGGCCCCAGTAGACGGTCCCCGAGATTTTGCCGCGCTCGTCTTCTAAGTCTTCGAAGCTTCCAACAGCACAAACACTGCAGCGGACCGTGCGGGACGTCGGTAACAGGACGCCCGTGCGTCCGCAGAGAAACTCGGTGGGACCAGTCTCGTAGCACCAGAAGGCATCAGTGATGTTTGAATCGTTCAAATCCTCTGTGGTAAAATTTCGAAATGTGATCGCCTCACACATGTCACCCTCTTGTAGATCACTGCAATTGTCGTCTTGCACAGGTGGCAAGCCATTGAAAAAGCTGCTACACCAGGAACGAGTTGTTGAGGTGGTGCTAGTCGTACTACTGGATGCAGATGATGTTGAGGATGTAGATGAACTTGTTGATGTGGTACTGGATGATGTGGTGCTGGATGATGTTGTTGTGTGGCTAATAGTTGAAGTTGTATCACTTGTTGACGTGCTGGTAGCTGTAGAGGAGGATGTTCTTGTACTTGTCACACTCGTTGCCGTCGATGTTGTCCAAGAAATGGAGCTAGACGTGGCGGTGCTGGACGTGGTCGTAGCAGTGAGCGTGGAAGCAGTGCTGCTGGTAGACGACAACGATGTGGAAGTTGAAGTGCTGAGTGTTGCGGTGGAGGTTGAACTTGATGTGGTCGTGAAGCTTGTGCTCGTGCTGGTTATTGAAGAGCTAGTTGAACTTGTGGTAAGAGTTGCTGTACTTGTCGAGGTTGTTGTGGAGCTCGTTGTGCTTGTCGAGCTGGTGCTAGAACTTATAGTGCTTGTTGAACTGGTGCTTGAAACAGAAGTGCTTGTTGAGCTCGTTACAGAAACCGATGTGCTGGTGGAGCTAGTAGTAGAAGTCGAAGTGCTTGATGTTGAAGTAGTTGTAGTTGAAGTTGTCGTTGAGTTGCTGGTAGAGGTTGATGTGCTTGTTGAACTTCTTGTTGTAGTTGTTGTTGTGGTACTAGACGTTGTGGAAGTAGTTGTGGTGGAACTTGTTGTTGTGGAAGAAGAAGTGCTTTGAGAAGTGGTTGTAGAAGGTTCAAAAGAAGTGCTGCTTGTTGATGTCACGGAGTTAGTGGAATTTGCACTGCTGCTTGAGGTCGTTGTGGTCGCGGTGGTGCTTGAACTGCTTCGCGTCCATGTTGTGCTTGTAGTAGTTGAGGAGGTCTGCGATGTGGAGCTTGAAGTGGAAGTAAAGGTGGATACCTTGGGAATGGGAACCTGGCATCAGCCTTTCCAAACTGATAGAAAAGATGAAATATATATATATATATATACATATGATCTCTCTTTTGCGGGGTTGTCTTTTTATGCCTACAATCGTCAGGACTTGTGATGGTAGCGTTTTGTGTTTGGACAGAGGAACATCAAGTACATCGAAAGGACATCCGGAGAAATGCAAACACTGACGATTCGGTTTGATTTAATAGAAGTGTATGGTTGAAGAATGGTGTACCTTTACCAAAGGATACCAAAAGGCCAGTTCGGGAATCAAACCATTTTGAGCCTCAGCTGTTTCCGGCTTCGTTCTTTCAGGTGAATGCTGAACTGACCTGAGGTTGCGACGGTTGAAGTGGAAAGAGATGAAGTGGTACTTGTACCTGCATCCATTGCGAAACACATCCAAACACATCCAAAACCATGGAAACGGCTTGTTTTTCGGAAAAGCAGAAGTTTGTGAACTGTCCTGATGAAGAGGTTGAAGATGTTGTAGTCACAGTTGTGCTTGTAGATGATGTTGAGGTGGTCGAGGATGTTGTTGTCGTCGTTGTGCCTTGACTGGTGCCAGTGGCGCAATGGCCTAAGAGTTGTATATACGTTTGCAATTGATATGCTGAGGATATACAAAGTCTTATTGGCTAGTTTTGCAGTCCAGTTGCAAATGGGTACCTGCGCTTGTGGCACTAGGAGCTTGTCGCTCAGATCGAACCCAGGAGGGAGCAAGGCCTCTCACAGTCAAATGTAAGTGACTCTTTGCTGGACCACGGCTGTCAGGTGATGTACCATTCAATCCCAAAACTGCAACAAAGTATTGAACCAAGGAGCATAGGTACAATCTCGATCATCTGCATTTGCACACGCCAGGAGGACAACCAGCATGCGAAATCCTGTGGCAAAAGGTCAACACATGTTGGTCTTCAGCTGCTGGCTGTCCAAATTTGAGTTTTCGGCCTTTCATCGGAATCACCGCTGGGCAGGCCTGGTGGGTGAGGTATCTCAGAATCACCAAAGCCAATTTCATAGCCACATCTGCAATGGAATCACAAGCCAGCACCTCCTCCGAGGCAGAGCCTCTCTATCTGACGCCCCCTCTTCATATCCAACAAAGACTGCGGCATATGCAAGAATGATGTAAGTTCAAAGAAATAGAAAGGAAATAAGGCATGCGTATTTGTCTCGAACAATTGTTTCAAAGGCACCTGTTAATGGGAGTCTGCCTGACTGCCTTGCATCAGGTTCATCCAAAGCCAAGAATCTATAGGGTCACAGAGTTTAATTTTAATTCTTGCAATATCCCAAGAAACCACATTCTCACAAAGAACAATGCCAAATGTGCACGAAGTAGTTGGACTTCAAAGTCGTGCCCGTTGGGCCCCTTGTTCCTGTGCTGTGCTTGTTGTTCAGCTCATTTCACTTCGGAAACCCAGAATCCGCCAGCCCCCTCAGCCTCAACCCATTTTTCCGCAAACAGTGTGTGAGTGTGTTCTTGGGGTTCTTCCTGCAGGGCCCATATAAATTGGCCCCAGAGTAGTGCGAAAGTGCCCGCTTTCAACCCAGGATGTACAGACAATACCCTCTCACAAACTCTCGAAGCAAATCAGCTTCCAACTCTGGCGTCCACCAATCCATGTCGGCAAATGCACCGCTCCAAGCTTTAAACCTGACAGGATCGCGGCACTTTTCCGGTGAACTTTTCAGGACAGATTGTATGGCGATGGATTTCACCGCATCGTTCTGGCGAATGATCGCCTTCCGCAGCAATGCCCACGAGTCCCCCGGGGCCAGTTCCGATTCCAGGCAGCGCAGTGCGAGTGTTCGAAGCCGGCTGCATTCCTGCTCTGCAAGCAGCAAATAATTCTTGCCCCCAGGACCATCCAAAAGGGCCAAGAAATCCAGCCAGTCAAATGCGGTCATCACTTGACCTTCAGGCCAAGTCTTCCCGGTGTAAAGATACGTCAACAAAGCCTTCATGCTGCCCACGCTAGGCTCTGGCTTGAGAGATGTCCTGATTTCTCCACTCTTGGCTTCTGCCAAGGATGTCAACAGCACGCCTTTATAATACTCGGAACGAGCAATGAGCATGAATCGGTGCGCTGCTAGTTCCTGCTTAGATTCAGCTTTTGCAATAAGGCGGCAATCGATGCAACCGGTTTCTTTCAAAGGTTTGCCATCTGCTTGTCTTGCAGTATTAAGCATCGACTCCAAATCTCTCAGCAAATTTGGTGGTGGGATGCTACTGTTTTGGCTGTAGACAGGTAGCACTTGAAGATTACCTGCAGCAGCTGATATCGCCATTGCCAGTAACTCTTGATCATGTTCCAATGCTGCGATCAACCGCTTGATGAAGTCAGTATCGTGGAGCAGCTTCATGTTAGCCAATGCCACGAAAACGTCGTTCTGCAGCCGTTTCGACCCTATCTTCTTGGCTTCTGAAAGAATCTCACCAGCATTTGAAGGCTCCACGGCATCATGCACATGCTTTTCACAAAGCGCGTGCAGGCGTCGCATTGCACAGCACGCACTATCATTTTGTGCAAGAAAGAGCCCCTTTGCTAGCGTCATCAGCTGAAAGACATCTTTCACCCCGAGCCCATCACCGAGAACCAGGCGATCCGTGTAGATGAAAAGAAGAAGCATTCGAAGCGTCCTCGTAGTTGCGCCCTGCATCTCGATCACTGAGATGTCAGCATTCTCACCCGAAGCTAGCCGCCGCCGCTTAGCCTGTGGGCGATTTGGTGGGGATCTAGGCGGTCCGCGGTTTCAAGCCTTAACCTGCTGTGAAGACCAAACAAGATGCCATCTCAAAATCACACCTAGCAGTAGGGATACTTCATCTTTTGACAAAGAGCATGATCCATCGCCAAATTCGAATACAAGACGGTACGATTCTAAGAACCAAGGGCTTGACCACCGACCGCGCATTGCACATCAGAATAAACTCACCTTCACAACTGGATCCACACCCATCGAAACCGCCCAAAACAAGGGATGATCCAAGACCAGAAAAGACCCGCCATTTGTGAGTCCAGTAGACCCAAACTTTGACCAAGTTTGGTACATCAACATCCAGGGGCAAATCTCGCAGTTCTAAGGGGCTGTAAGTTGTAAGCTGTAACTTATCAATCCATCTACCATGTGCAAATTTTATTGACCCTTCCAAAAACCACATAAAATTCCAAAATGGTTCCAACAGTGTTCCCATTCGGGCAGTCTTCAAAACCCTCTTCAAAGCAATGGTTGATTCAGAATGGGATTTCCAGTTGATGGATGATGAAGGAATATGTCAATCAATCAACTCTATCCCCAGATTTGTCACGGCTCTCGTAAATGATGGTTAAGCCGTTAAGCCCCCTTTCATCATCTATGATGACCTTTCCAGGGCTTTAGCAGCCACTCTCCTTTGGTCCCGGTCTTTACACGCCTCGTGGGTGCGTCCCACTTTTTGGGACAAACGTGGGCAACGGGCTTGAAGCAGCGCAAAATGCGCCGGCACGTCGCCATCATCACCTGACGGTGCTGACGTGGGTCAGGGGCTTGGGGGCAAGGCGATTTCACAAACAAATATAATGTTTTTTACCGACCAAATTACCAAAGGGGTGATTCAATGGCATGTCAAAGGAGTTGTAAGGGAATATAAGTAAGCAACAATGTGATATGTGGGTGCAAGTCAGGTTTGATCTGAGAGTTTGGGAATTTTGTTTAGGGTTCAATCTTTCCTCAAAGACCTACATTTTCAGACTTACACTAAAGCTAATCTTGCTTTCCCCTTGTAGGTCTGACCTATGGAGTTTGTACTGCGTTCTACTCCTGTCTCTGCGTTAGCCTGTCTGAACCAGAGAGTTAAGTTTACTCATGTTTACTCTTTGTTCACTCCTCTGGTACCCTTTCCGTCGTGTTTGTCATTATTTTGCCATGTTTCAAACTTCATGCGTGTTTTTCTCGTTCAGTTTGTGGTGTAGATCTATTTCAAAATTGAGGTTTCTGGGGCTTCTGTGCTTTTGCTGTATTTTGGATTATTTCATATTTCTACATTTGATATCATTTATTAATAATCTAAATAATCATGTAGGGACGTTCTTGGCAAATTGGATATGATGTAAGTAAGTAATCTTCATGTTGTCCACTTAACTTTTTCGGCTTGGCTTTGGATTGATTTTGTCCTAGATCTCCTTTGCCACTATGCCTAATCCTTAGAGCCGAATCCTTGGAATACGTTATGGGTTTCCAACAGCCAAGAGTTATGTTTGATAATCATAAATAATTATAATTGGTAACAATGGACAATAATCAACAACACTGGGTGATCAAGGGTAACAACCAGCAGTAAAGGGTGGAAATGGGTAATAAAAAGGTGGCAATGGAAATCAAAGACAAATAAGGGAGCTAAAGAATTTCTTGTAAAGCTGAAAGATTTCGGTTGGAAATTCACTCGGGGAATTCAATGTGGAGGATAGAGATGGGGTAAAAAGAGACGCAAATAGAAGAGATTTCCTCTAGAGGTTAAACCCATGCAGGGCAGGTCTTCATATCCTCGCCCTGACAAAACCTTGCCTCTCAAAATTGTGTCGCTCAAGACATCGCCATCGGACAACAACAACTTTTTGAGATGTTCCCGGAGTGCCGGATCGACTTCCACATACTCAGCATCGACCGCAACGGCCGCCGCGGCACCGGGGGCGACCGCAACGGCTGTAGCCGCAGGGGGGGCGGCCAATGGAATGTGGCGCACGAAGCGCACACGGCGCATGTTTTGCTTTTAACAAAGGGAGTCTCACTGTCCAGTTTGAAGGTGATGCATTTGCCTTCTTCCGTCGTCTGCGACTCAAACCAATTTATCCAAGAAGGACCACTTTCACTTACAAATTCCACACTTCCTGACAGCTATTGCAAAGAACATGCACCTGTGCTTACATGGGTGTGTCCGAAAATGAGGGTATACCAAAATTACATAAAATTACCAGGTTCAAAGGTAAAATCATGATTAACCAGGAGGTTTAAGCGGTACCCTATTTTCAAACAAACGCACATTGGCCTTTGATCTCGCCTGGTGTGATGGAACATCAAAGCTGGGTAAAATAGAAGATGATGTGTTTTATGTGGTGTCAGTTCAAAATTCGCAAATGTTAAATGCCTGCTAGATCCTGCTGGACGCAAAATGGCAACAGCATAGCAATGGTTTTCTTGGTCTGGTAGCTTCATGTGCGCAAACCCGGCAACAGGTCGAGAAATGTCCCGAACAATGTAATCCTGTTTTAAATTCTCTAGTTTTGCAATCCAACAGCAGTCAGGGTTCCAAGGTTCCAACGTTGCGTCCCCAGCAACCAATCAATGCACCATTTCCGAACTCAGAGATCGAAACCCAACAGGCACTGCTATTGGGAACTGTTGGGGTGTTGCGGCATGTAACAAGCTAGCCGCATCGTTGTGGTTGATGAATAATCCAGATGCAGATATGTTTCGATCATGCTGTTCTTAACTGTCGTAGTTGTTTCTGTAATATACATATTTGTCCGGCGAAACGATTGGAACTGCAGCTGGTGGGTCCCACCTTTTCAACAAACCTGTATTTCGATGCCACGTCTCTATCTTTTGAAATCTGCGAAACTACCCAACGTGCCTCACTTTGATTGACATTCCAGCCACGATTGCTATCCCGCAGTAAATCTCAACACAAGATGAAACAAAACACTCCAAGTAGTCAATTCTGAATTTAGAGGAAAGAAAATTGCAAGTTGCACACCCTGAATCCTCCCCCGGTAATCTTCCACTTTTCCTTGCCAAGGTCAAGATGGCAATCATTGGAAGAAACTGCTCCTTTGCAGCTGGAGTTTCAGTCCCATGTTCCTCGATCGTCCCTTGATATTGAGCGCTTGATCAAACATATTATCTTCCTCAAAGCTTCTGATTGTTTTTTGACAACCTGCTCTTGAAAATCACTTGCAATTTACTGGTATGATTGTCGGATATTGTCGGTATGTCAGTGATATGTATTGTGCCGGGCTCAGCATCTATGTCACTGGTGACTTTCCTGCCCAATTCACTTGGCCACAGCGAAGGTGCCTCAGGACTCCAGAAAGGGCTGGTCTTTTCAACTCACGTCAAACATCATCAAACATCATCAAACATCATGCGGGCTTCATTCTGAGGAACAGGCACTATTCTCCCTTCACCCACGAGGAAAATACTGGCCTTCAAGTGCAGTTGGTCAAGATTCAGTTACTATTCATCGTGCATTATTCATCGTGCATTCCATAGGTGGTACTGAGAGCAGGTCATACTTAACTCTAAACATCGCCCAGCTAATTGGTGCCTGCAGCCAGCACCGGCTGAGAGACAGAAACAAAAACCGAGAAAAAGGTCAAGCTCTCCCAGACTTTTTCGGATTTTGATGGATGCAAAAGGGTCAAAAATGCAAGGGAATGCATAGGGATGCACAGCGATGCATAGTGATGCATCTTGTCAGACCAAAACATCGCTTCCAGGGTCCCGGCTTCGTCGCGTCGTCGGCCAAGACCACACTGGTGACTGTGGCAGAAGCCAACGCCTGCCGGGCCAAAACTGCGGACGCTCGGGAAGCCCCATCGAATACGGCCGAATACGTCCCGCACTTGGATCTACCATGATCTACCACATCTTGGAGACCATGGGACACACAGACGAAGTCTAGGAATCCAACTGCATTGACACTCGCTGCCGAGTGAGTCAGCTGAAGGCCCAAGGTCCATCCAGAACCATCTGGCCTGAAAGACTACTTTGGCAGAAGTCTGAACGCGGATTTGTGTCTTGCAATCTCAGAATTAGATGAATTGATGCAGACTCCACTACCATGAGACAAATCAACATCACAAGCGTTTGAGTGGCGCATTGGCAAACATATGTTACATGTGTTACAAACATGTGTTACAAACATGTGTTACTGGATGTTACTGGGTTTTCTCACAAACGCAGTGGATCCGATCGCACAATCCGCCGTGACCTTAGGAGGTCATCCGCAAGTCTCCGAGATGAGAACGGCTGGGACAACACCAAAACCGCAAAACTACTCGAGTGAAGAGAAGAAAAAACTCAAAAACTCTCCTATGGCAATCCATCCTGGCAGACAATCCGCTGTTTAGCGCCGAGTGTTATACCGAAAATGTGGGTTCTTGTTGTCGTGTATCTCAACCACGGATATCCACGGATGCCATTCTAGAGTCTAGAGATGTCTAAAGTATTCTCCATAGTTTTGAGCATTGAGGTCAAAGCCCGGTAGTGCAGGTGGCCAGATCGTCGTCCCATTCATAACCTCGTCAGACTGCAGGATCTACCCGGGAATCCCCAGGGATCCCCAGGGATCCCTGGCATCCAACCAAGGCGGCAGCAAAGCTTTGGTGGGATCAGCACAAAGGTACACGCACGATTCGCGTGAACCCAGGGCCTGATGGAACATGGTGGAACTCCCACTCCAAAAAACATCCACTGATCGATAACTCTTCTCCACTGTGATGTTCGACATGCCTTGATCCAGTTTTACTATATCCTATGACAAATAACAAAAGGGAAAGCAACAACTTGAGAAGCCGGCTTGTAGATCTTGAAGGCATTGAAATTTCCAATGGTCTCCAGGTGATTGTGTCTGCAGGAGTCCATGAGGTCATTAACCTGCCACAGGAGCTGCTTCCAGCATTCGACGACCACAAGACTGACGAACTGAGGAGCAAACTCGTGACAAAGGCGTTTGAAGCTGGGCGTCCGTTTTCAGCTTCTCCTCTGCCATGTGCCTTAGGCCGCTAGCCAGGGAGCCATGAAGCCAAGAATGCGACTTGAACGCGGTGGCCGAAGAGAGCCAGATGCAAACGAGTTTCACAAGAGCACACTTTGGTGCACCAACCTTGGGGACGGGTTTTTTCGGACAGGATGGTGTAACAAGAAGCATCAGCCGCAGATTCGATTCTGAATACAACCTTCTGAGATCAAGGCTGAAAAAAATTCTCCAGCTTTCTCCATGACGGCCTTGTCTGGCCTCGGTCGACGAGCGCCTGGACTGCCGCAGTTGCCCTGGAATTCCACCTTCGGAAGTTCATGGAAATTTGGGTCACATGCAGTTGTCTGACAGTTGTCTGGGGTGGCAGCTCCTGCTCTGAAAACACCTCTGTGAAGGTTTTCTTCTTTAGAGCTGCTACCTCCAAATGGTGGTGGAAAAGCTTAAAATGGTAAACGGATGTAAACGGTAGACTTGCTTGCCATGCACATCACGCGTGCTCCAGATCTTTCTCTGCTTTTGAAGTGACTGCTTTGTGGTCTCTACCGAAAGTGCCCAGACTATCATTGCAGCTGTGCTTGCCTTGACTTCATCTCTTGGTCTGTGATGCCTATCCCAAATAACCAGAGTTGTAGTCTTCGTCTTTGCCTGCCACGTATGGTATGGTATGGTAGTGCAATCAAAAGCTGTCATTAATCCATTCATATCGAGTGGTGAAAGCCGGACAAAACAAGCAGAGGCACCAGCTCAGCCACCATTCCAATGCCAGCTGAAGAAGACTGACCCCGAACTATCACAACATCCTGCATTTAATCACCAGCTCACACAGGAGTCTCCAAGATTTCCCCAAGAATTACAAGCGAACTCCATGAAACCGGACAGGAAATGTCCCAAATTTCACATCTCTCACTGTGCACTGGTCCAGAGGCTCGCTGCTCTGCATGGGTTTCACGAACGCCTGCTGGAAAGCACCTGTTCAGCTGGCATCAGAGCTTGAGCAGACGTACAGGTCAAACATCGGCGTTCAACACCCGTTCGCAAAACTCATGCCCTGCTGATGAAACCAAAACTTGCCCAAACTGTATTCAGGCAAGATTCAATCTATGCAACCCTGCAATCTCCAGCCTGTATCAGTGCTCCCTTCCCATCTTGGTGCTCCGCGAACAACCTGCACGGGCTGACCTTAGAATATTCCATGGCAATCCATGGCATGCTTAACAAATACCTTGGAAATGCCTTGGAATTCCACTTAGTGACAACTTCCTGGAAAGGGGCTAAAAAGAATCCAGTGCGGCTTTCAGTTAAGAAAACCGAAGGATGTCAACACTTGCGGCTCAATTCAGCATGTGGACCTCGTACTGTAGCAATTAAGGCTGTGACCGGCCAGCACGAGCGAGGACCTGTTGTCAAGAGAACTCTATTTTCAAGACTATTCTCTCTTCCTGTCTCTCTCCCTGTCTCTTTGGTTTCCAGTTCTTCATATGTCTCTGGCTCATGTGGGACACCCCGCTTTGTAGCCAATTTCACCAGTTTCAAGAGAGAAAATGTTACAGTAAAATCATGATCATAAACATTTACAAACCATAAGATTTTGGGAGCTCCAGTTTTGCAAAACCATGTTTTCATCGAGCCTCATGGACTCCTCTTCAGCGCTCTCTGCGGATCCGCAGAAAAGGAACTCGGCAGAGCCATTGCCTCGACCCTTCTCGTAGCACAGGCACTCGAGGGGCCTGTCGTGACTTTCCCGTGGTTTTTTGTCACCTTTTTGTGCAGAAACGATATCTATGATTGATAATGGTTAATCAGTTAATCGTGTGGAAATAACCAACAGATGAATCATGGAAAATCATGGAAATTGGAACAATGCGGAAAACCCAATGCCATAAACCATCACCAATAACTCACAAGAAATGGGCGAACCATCCCAAAATGGAGGGTTTAGGGCATTGGGTTTACCACCTGTCGGTTAAGGACTTGACCCAAACTTCTGCAGCAAGGCTGAGACATCCTGGCGGGTTTGATTTCTGGATTTTCTGAAGATTCGTCCAAAATCTCTCGGTGCTGTGCTGTGCTCGAACTGTTCTTTGCCACTGTCCTCTGCACTGCTGTTTTCTGGAACTCCTCGAAATAAGACCTGTTCTGCACGGATTCATGTGAGCTGCGGCAAAAGGATAGCTCTGGCCTTGTTGGACAAGCTCAAATCATTGGAGACCTCACTGGCCTTGCGGCAGAGATGCGTATGATCCAACAAGCCCAGGATGACAAATCCATCAAATGATCCTGGTACCCATCGAACATCAAATATGTTACCTCACCCTTGTGATACCCCAGATTGATCCATCTTTCCAGGACTTGCTAATGATGATCCCTCAAATGCTGAGGCATGCTCCACCATGATCGGCAACTGGATACCCACTGCGGGCCCAGAATCTGAATTCGCTGGAATGAACCAAAAAAGGCAACCAAGTGAATCCAAAACTAAACATCGCACGCTAGCTCCATGCACTCACACTCTTTGCTTGACTTGTCATACGGCTGCATTAAAATTGAACTCTGCAAAACGGTGTACGGGAGAATCAACTTTCAACTCCTCTTGTTTTCAGCCCATTTTGGCATGTTCTAAGAAGCGTCAAGAGCACCTGCCGCTCTGCGTGAGGACTGCGGTCGTGCTGCACCTGCACCGGAAGCAGGACCTTATCGGAACCAGCTGCAGCATATCCCTGGCACTGGCTCCTGGAACATCCAGAATCCACCAGCGACCAAGAGGCCCAAGCAGCCAAATTCTTGGAGGTTGGCTCCTCATCCAAAGAAACTTCCATACCATGCAGGACCCTGCGGGAGTTGAGATATGCAGAAGTGCTCCAAAGTTGGCACCCTAAGCTATTGTCAAAGATTTCAGAGAGGAGCTTGAGGGAAAGGGCTGGGCTCAATCCAAACTGCCTCTCTAAAATATGATTTTGCAATCGGCCAGAGCTTTCTTTTGGCTTCCTCTGACAAAGTCGATCCAGTTGCTGCTTCGCAGGTGTGCCAACTCTCAATCTCAGTTGCTGACATAGCTCCTCACCTAGGCGTTGATGCCAGTGCAAAATTTCCGCAGCCACAACAGCTTGTGCTGCTGGTCCCAGCATCCCAGGGACAACATTGAGGCCTTCTGCGCCCACCAGGTTGCCACGTGCCCTGAAAGCCAAGGCCTCCAAACAGCCTGGTGCCTGGCTCAGCAAAGCTGGATCACTGCACTCGGAAAGGTCCAAAATGGCCTTGAACGTTACAGCGTCTGCTGCACTTTCAGCTGTTTCAATTGTTTCGTGGAGATTTTGGACCAACAGTTGCCTGGCTTCATGAATACGGTTGGCAGCTTGGCAGGCTGATGCAGCCAGGTTTCGGGCAATACCAAATGGAAATGAGAAGCCTGTCATGTCTTTCAGGATGCTAAGAGCACATTCCCAGGCCTGGCCCACAGCACACGCTTCCAATATCGCATGAAACGTGGTTGTATCAGGCTCCAACTTGGCAAAGATTTGAAGCTGCTGAAACAGTAGCAGAGCAAACTGCCAGCTCTCCAGCTGGGTGCAGGAACCCAGGACTGTGTTGTATGCGATCAGGTCAGGCCAGTCTCCGGAGGCGCTTAGAGACTGCTTCAATGAGTCACAGTGCAAAAGAGCCGAAGCCACTCGCCAGTTGAGCAGTGAAGCGCAACTTGAAATTCCTACATTGCACGCCGTAGAATCCAGCTGAACTGCACGATCTTGAAAAGAGAAAAGCAGGCACAACGCAGACTCCCATTGGAAACCAGCCTCGCATGCAGACATTAACGTGGTCAGTGAAACCACATCTGGGCGGAATCCAGAGGAAGAGGCTGTAGCAAACAAACTGAGTGCCCTTTCCCAAGATTGGGAGGAGCAACATGCTCCCAAAACGGGATTGCATGTTCCTGTACCTAGCGGCACCCTCCATGAAGAGGCGGTGCATAGTATGCTTAGTGCCGCCTCCCAACATCCTCTGGACTGGCACGCCCTCAAAACCGAACTTACTGAGATTTCGCTCAGCTCTACTTGTTTCAAGTGCATGTCTTGCAACGTGGTGAATGCTTCCGGCCATTGCGACCCCTTTTCACATGCTAGAAGTGAAATGCTCAAGGAGATTGCGTCCAGCTCAAGTAGTGAACTAGACATCTTGTCTAAGAGAATGAGAGACACTTGCCAATCCCCACTTCTCACACATGTGTTTGCAACAATGCTGTAGGATGCAATGTCAGGCCTGAGTGACATACTTCCCATGCTTTCAAGCATTCCAAGTGACAAACACCAGGCATCCTGTGTTTCGTCTGCTTCCAGGATGCTGAGACATGCATTCAACGTCTTCACAGTTGGTTGGACTTTTACAGCTCGCATCGAGTCCAAGATTTGGATTGCAAATTGCCAGCCAATGTGATCCCGACACGACCGCAGGAGGATATCATAGCTGATTGATGTTGGAGAAACGTGTGATTCTTTCATCGCTGAAAAGGTGCTACAAACCCTGCTCCACATCCCTGCACTTTCCAAAGAACTCATGAGCATGCTGTATGTATACACGTTTGGCGCAACCCTTAGGTTGCGCATCCACGTCCATATCTCCAACACCTTTGGCCATGAACCGGACTGTTCCAAACACTTCATCGCTGTACCAAATGTCACAATGTTAGGAGTTGTGGACACATTCTGAAGGCTTTCGAGAAGACTCAAAGCAACCATCCATTCACCAACAGAGCCACAAACACTGATAGCTGTTGCCATGGGCACTTGCCAGTCGCCTCTGTCTTCATTGCCGGCACGCTTCTCTGTCTGCCAACATTTCGAGACAGAAGCAAGGAAGTGAAGAGCTAACTCCCAGTTCTTGGACTCTGCACATGTAGATACAGCTGCTGCACAAGCAAAGGCATCAATCTCAACTCGATTTTCCAACATGTCCTGCAGGATCCAGAGGCTCACATCCCAGCAACTGGGAGCACAAGCTTGCAGCAAATTGGTGTAGCTTCGTTCATCAAGTTGGAGTGCACTCTCTTCTGCCAGGGACAGAACTGCCAAAGCAACCTCCCAGTGACCCTTTGCTGCAACACCGGCAACAATTGAATTGTATGAAATGATATCAGGATCGATGCCCTTCCAATGGATTCCAGCTTCGGCCACCAGCACCAAAGCAAAACGCCATTGATGTGCTCGCTGACAGGCAGAGACTGCTGAATTTAACACGATGACATTAACTTCGACCCCGCGCTGAAAGGAAGTGAATAACAGGTCCAGGGCTTTTGCCCAGTGGGCTCGTTTTCCAAAGGCGCTGATGCTAAGACTGAGATCCTGCACTGCTGGAAACGTTGTGCGAACTGAGTCAAATGGTTGGCTAGTTCTGTATAGTTCTGTAAGATTACAGTCTTCTACACAATGGCCCTGCCAGGAAAACAGTTGCTGCATTTTGCTTCGAATCAAGTGAGGCATCTCAAATATCAGGAGTACAGCGGCACAAGTTGGTCCTTACTTGACTTGATGTTATCTGGGTTTCTGGTCGAAGCTTCTCTATCGTCTCTGACCAATCTGCTCTTCGCCTGGTGACATTGACATCAAGGTTGGTGCGAATCTCACAGCTAGAAACTGGCCTGAACTCCTGAGGTTCCCGAAGTGGCATCTAAAATCCTTCTCTGCGTACCTGGCAGAGACATATTGCTGTGTCACACATAAGTTTTCCAGCACCGAAGCAGGAGCACCTCCACTCCAGGCTCCAATCATGGTACAAAAGAATCATGTGAGACTGTTCGCATTCTGCTTTCTAATTCCATTCGAGTCAAAAAAAACCTGCGGCACGGACGTGACTCTTCGAATCTGCAGTGTACCCCCAAAGGCCTTGAAACCCTATCGACCTGACGGTAGAGTATTTCCGGCTTTGAGAGTTCCAATTCCTTGCTCTTGGAGATGGTACGGATATGAACCATCTGCAGAACCACATGTACAAATGAAACCAGATTCAGGCTTTGGTCTGGTTGATCTGAAGACAAATTACGCTTTGATCAGCAAAACACAGGCACTGGGCACACTTAAGAAATAACAAGAAATACCAAGAACTACCAACGATCCATTCAACTGGATTCTATCCTTTCAAAATATTTCCAATGTTCAAACTTCAAGTCTGGAAAGCCTGAAATGTGAGACAGCAGCGCTTAGTTACGCTGACCGGGTGAAACTCTGAGCTCTCACTCCGCCAAGTCCACTGACTGCACTTCCTGACACAGGCGTCGATGGCTGAAGGATTCTGGATGGGAAAACAGCTGGGTCCAAACCCAATGGCTGGAAAACCCGCTCCTGCGCATGGGCAAACCTCAGAGATTGCATGTCTGGATTGAACTTCCAGTTGTCAACACTCTTGCACAAGCTTAAGCCAGCTGGGGAAGTGCACTCTCCAATCCTCTCATTACTTCTTAGGTCGAGCGAGACTTACAACATCTTACAACTACAACCCAGAGGAAAATCAGCGCAAACATATTCGGACAATGTCAAGGTGCAACCTCAGATGCATCAGAGAAGCAGGTACTGCGCCAGAAATTCAATGGGATCTTCAGGTTGCTCTTTGCAGACCTTTGGCACGCACGAAAACTTACGAACCATCAAAACTTCCACTGTCAACGATGCTTGGAACGCTTCAGAAAGTCTTCACACGCAAAAAGGGGTACACGGTATACGCTATACTACACTCAAATCCATCCAAATCCACTGATGAATCATCATACGTCACATCACATCCCATCATATCATATCTTATGACCCACTACAGACCCTTAAAACGGCCATGAATGAAAACTTCATGGATTCATGGCTGTTGTTTGATCATCTTGATCAATACGTCGCCTCGGTCAGCCCTGCGGTCAACGTTGGCACGACATGAGCCCTGGCGATTGCTAGGCGAGTTGACGCTGAATGTGTACAAATGGATGATCAATGAATGGAATGCATAAACAAATGAAGAAATAAACCAATCGATATGTAAAAATGACAGATAGAGAAGGAGATAGAGAAAATCGATATGAATATGAACATGGAAATTATATCTATAATATATATATATATACACACATCATTATATATAATATGTATTTTTTGTTTTTCCCCCGTGCAGACTGCAGAAGTCTGTGCACAGAACCATAGCCGTTGAAATTGTGAAAAACAAATAAGAATAAAGGTAGAGAGGTAATCGGGTGAGGAGAAATTAATTAGACTACTTGTGGACAACCACGTTCAAGTAGCTGATAACCTCGCCAGGGGCACATAAGATACTGTCGCAAAGGCTGTGCCTGTCAAAAAAAACTTGATTCACTCTGAGCAGCGCCGGTGTCTCCTTCGCTTCGCTCTACTGACACCAAGACATGATATACATGATAAAAGAAGCTTCGCAGTTCGTACAAAGAGAAAAGCCTGCAGAGTTCAAATCCACTTCCTTGCAGTTCTATCCATTCCGTGTGAGTACACAGCACAAATCAACACAAGTGTTGCGACCTCACCCTTGGCACGAGTAAATCCAACAGGATAAAACCATTGCGGTCATCCTTATCTTTCCCAAAGGTTTAAAGGTGTGTGCCGCTGGCAAGCCTCTTGCTCCAAATGAGCCGCTTCGTTGCGAGCGATGACCTTCAGAAAAAACACTGTGGGGATTAGGAGCTGCGGTGGTGCAAAACTCTGCCTTGCGTCTGGTCTCTTCCTCGTTCGCCAACTTCTGCCGCAGCGCAGCTTCTTTTTTGGCATGTTCCTGTGCGATGTGTGCGCAGTGCCTAGGAAATGCAAGGTTCTTCGTCTACCGCTATTACGAACACCAAAATATTGTGGAAAAGGCTGCAGCAGTGGAAAGAAACTTGACAGGATATTTGGACGCAGAAGTAAAACGCAAGATGTCGCAGAGAAGAAAGAACCAGGGAAACAAATGCGATAGATGATGCCAGGGATTGCCAGGGTATGATAGCATGGTATGACACACTGCTTCTTGTAAAGCCCGATGAATTCTGGCACCGGTGTGGTGCTGCAAGCCGGGAATGATACAGCGGACTTGGGAAGGGGAACACGGAAGGTAGGTGATCAGGAAGAGGAAGCAAAAAGATGCACAAGAGTTCAAACGGCAACAGTGCAGGTTCGGCCGAAGAGCGCGCTTCTGAGTGTAAGAGCCTCTTTGCGTAAAACCTCTCTGTGTAAATGCGTCTGTGTGTAAAATTTCTCTGTGCGCAAACCTCTCTGTGTAAGAGCATGTGCGGATAAAGGCTACTCTGTGTAAAGGCTGCTGTGCGCAACATCGTCTGTCTGTAGAGGGTCGAGCATGGGCGTCATGCTATTTATAGGATGCTGAGGGGAATCCAAGGGACAAACAAAGATACGTGGATATCCCAGTGTCATCCACTAGCATTTATTATCTGGAAGGGAAACGACAGGAAACGAAAAAGATCCAAGCTCAAATACCGATACCTGTTTGCCTGTTTTTTTTACTGTAAGGGGGAGAGGAAAACTTTTTCATGTAAAAGCTGTTCTGTGCAAAGGTTTCTCTGTGTAAAAGCTTCTGTGTGTGTGAAAGCGTCTGTGAGTAAAAGCGTCTGTGTGTAATCTGTTCGCAAATGCTGCGCTGTGCAAATGCATCTTTGTATAAAGCATCGGTGTGTAAAAGTTTCTGTGTAAAAGCTTCTTTGCGTGAAAACCTCTGTGTAAATGCGTCTGTCTGTAAAAGCTTCTCTGTGCACAAACCTGTCTGCACAAGAGCATGTGCGGATAAAAGCTGCTCTGTGTAAAGGCTGCTGTGCGTAACGTCGTCTGTTTTGTAGAAGCGTATCTGTGTAAAATGCGTCACCACACCAACATCTCAAAACAACATGAAACAAAAAAAACCAAGCTCAAATGCTTGCTGTCGCTACTGTTGTTGATGATGGAGGTGATGCGCGTAGGGCCCCAAAAACCGTCATATTGGCGGTGTTTCGCTATGTTTCGCTAATATGTGAAAGCCTTCGGGACAAAAAAACACCGTAAATACCGCGGTTTTTCGCCTCTCGCGCTGTTTTTGGCGCCTCGCAGGCCAAAAACCACGGTATTTACGAGGTGTTTCGACCTTGGGCGCAAGAATAACGGTATTTGCAGTGTTTTTTGGACAGAACCAAGCAAAAACACTGGTATTTACGCAGTTTCAGCATGTTGCAAGAAATAAGTTTTTCCATACACAAAAAAACACAAAACACTGTAAATTAAATTACAGTGCTTTGGGTTTGTTTTTAGGGTTCGAGGGGGGTGGGAGGCGGGGGGGGTCCTAAAATGAATGAACAGCAACCTCCTGAATAATCAGGCAACAGGGCTGGCCACCCTCCCCTTTACTTCAAAAAGTAAGCCTCAAGGTAGCCCCAGGTGATAGAACATGGCTGCTCTCAAGACTAAAATGGCTCGTGTTTCATGTTTCCCAAAACTGTGTGCTGAGGAGCGCTGATTAAGTAAGCTCAGGGTTCTGTGGAAGGCTGTTTGTTCAGAGAGTCATTTGGAGGTCTGCCAGTTTTTCTCGTCGGTTAGAACATTGCTGAAATTGGACAGGTCGTCGCATGTGATTTTTTGCATGCCGTCTGGTTCGCTGGCACTCTGAAAGAAAGACAAAGAGAGAAAAAAGCTTCACAAATGACAAATACAATAAATTTTGACTTGATGGGATGAGAAGGGCTTGCAGAGAAGTTTGTCGAATTTAAATCTGCTTGCAGTGAAGATGTTTGTTGTGACCAAAAATTGTTGAGTGGAAAGCACAGGTGTAGTCAAGTGATGCAGCAGGTTCCTACCAAGCATCTATATATCATATGTATTCATATGTGTCTTTTCTTCTGGTCTACTTCCATGTTATCAGTTGAAACCGTTTGAACTTAAACAATCATCAAAGAGGTGTCCTCCTGCTCCCTCATCTTCAAGGCATCGTCTTGTTCCTCAATCTGGGCCAAGTGCTCCTGCTCTTCACGAACCAGGTCTTCTTCGGACCTGCTCAATGAGAAGCCAAGTTTCACCGTGGTGTTAGGGGAAGCACCAACCGGCCAACCGGTCAACTGCTGGCCTCAGGTAGTTGAAGAACTGGCCCTTGGATTCCATGTGCACCTTGATGGCCTGCGAAAATTTCATAGAACTTCTGATGGTTTGCCCGTTTTGCTGCAAGTTGGACCATCCTTTTGCTGGATCGGCCTGGAAAGCCTCTTCTTCTGTGCACGCATCAATGTCGATGGGCAGCATCTGCATCCGCAAGACACTCAGTGATAGATGGAGCATTCTTGCTTCGTGTGGTCTTGTCTCAAGATCAAAATACCGAAACATCATGAAATACCACAAAATCCCATGGCTACCATAACCCATATCATTCATATCATCATCAACCCTCGAAACTCTTAGTGGCCACCTGTAGGCCACACTGCTCAGAGAAGAACTCAGCAGTACTGGGAGTGCCATCCTGACGACCAAAGGAAACTCTTTGGACTGCAACAAAACAGCAGCGATGGATTGCCAACAGCCGAAAGATGGTAGGCCTCTGCAAGATTAGCATTCCTGTACTCCTCTGAAGTTCTCACAAAGTCCTGATAGGTTGGTAGACCGGGTCAACAACGTCCGAATCTTCAAACCTTTCAGAAGCCAGCAGAAATTCAGTATCCTATGCCAAGTCCTCTTCGCTTGCTGGACCCTTCGCTTCTCCATCAAATATTCTTGCCTCTACACATCATGCATTTGGCATCTTGCCACAGTGCGAGCAAAGGCTCTATCAATCTCAGTATCGCAGCATGTGTTGCCTGTCATCGGTTTGGCAAATGAGGGTGGTGCCTTGCAGCGTGCCTCCGCGCTTCGAATCAAGACACCGTACTCAGGAACCTCAAGGGCCAGCAAACATCTTGGTAGAAGGAAACCATGCTGCCCAGAAGAAAATGCCAAAACTTGAGAATTCTACCAGGCTTTCAGCCACTTTCCACTTTGGCCTTGCTGCAGCAAAACTTGGCGCCCAAAAAATACGAGTCTTCAGATTCTTCACTCATTCGAGGCTGTTTTGCATGCACCGTTTCTTTCCACACATTGAAGCTATTAAAGCGGCGGTACCTCTGCTCTTCCTCTTCTTCCTCTGGTTCCTCTTGAGGAGGAGCCTCCTCTTCCTCTTCCTCTTCCTCCTGCATTCAATGTCTGATCATGATCCACCCCAGAAATGTGAACCATGAAGCCAAACTGCTTACCCCCCAGGTTTGCTGCCTCCTGTCCATCATCTCCCTCATCCTCTCCATCTTCGGCTTCAGCCTCACAGGGAGATGTCTCAAAAAGCGCATGCTGGAGCAAGGTCTGGGAAAATAGCCTCAGTCCAATAAAATCAATCTTGCTGTGCACAAGTCAACTTGATCCCATAGCACCCTTCACAAAATACTCCTACTGTCTACAATCACATCTTCTGGGATGCCAATGAACCTTTCATTCCAGGAATGCCCGTCCTCCTCTTCATCCCCTTCTTCTCGCACCTTTTCCATGAACAATGCCTAGATGGGGCTTGCCAGCAATAGGAATCACTTTTCCAGAGACAAAGCAGCAAAGAGAGTCTCTAAACTGGAGGGAGTGCTGAGATGTGCAAAGCCAATCTGGAATCTGCAGAGTCTGCACCTCCGCTTCGGCAAATGTTGTTGGGTATCCTTCGAGGATGTACCCACGGTAGCGGCCTAATTTGTTGGCGAACCAGGTAAGCTGACAGTGGATGGAAACAGTTCTCGCGTGAAAGCCAAGACCCCAACATACGTTGGAAAGCAATCGATTCTGCACGAGTTTCGTCCTGGAACAGGGAAGTTTCTGAAAGCGAGCTGGATCCTAGACGTGAACCAGCTACAGAAACTCACGCCATGCCAGTTGGTTTCTTCATTGCTTGATCCTCACAGCTAAAATAACGTATCCCAGCCTCAACTTGAGAGGAAGTTTCTTTCCAGGTGTGAGCGCAAGCTTCTTCACCTACGCCACGAGAAGAAAGGGTTTGCTTGCTTCCAAAGCCAATGAGTACCAACACGATCCATAAGGTTGTTTGTTAAGAGGTGTGCCAAACAGGATACACTGGCCGGGAATGTCTGCAGTTCTATTCAGGTCAAAACTTGGGTCCAGTCCAGTTGGTTCCATTCCAGCTTCCCCATAGCATGAAAGGTCCCATTGGCACCTTCTTGTTGAGCTTTCGGGCTGCTTTGGTTGGTGCAGAGCAGGCATCTTGAATGATCTGTTCGTAGGTCAAATGTGGTGGTTCCTTGCCAGGGCAAATCCATGGCACATGGTGGCCAAACCATAGATTCAACGAAAATAAGGAGGTCCCACTGAGGTCCCACTGATCCCCAGCCTCATGTAGGTAGCGATCTGCTACGCGGACCTCAGTCTCCAAAAATCATGTTTCTCTAGCACCTAGGAATGAAGCAGTTGGTTGCTGTCCATGTCCACAGGACTTCGTTTCAATTTGCATCCTTTGGTCATCTTTTCCTTTTTCCCAGCTAAGCTTTGATCACAAAGGCGTTCTGCTCCACATCCAGGTGGTCCGATCACAACCTGGCAATAAGCTCTCCACAGTTCAAAAGAACATAAAATGTCAGGTGCAAAGTTGGCAAAGCTGCTGTGTCAAGGACGGGTAGCTACTTTAAATCCGCTGCGTTTAGCTTGTCTCAACGGGAATTGGCAAAATGTGTGTGCACTGGCAGCAAACTTGGCAATGGACCATCTTGATGGGCCGCAAATTTCGCCATTTGCAAAATTCTGCGGCTACCTGTTTTGTCCAACGGGCTGCACAAGAACTAAGCAGGTTACTGTCAGCCGTCTGCCGTCTCGTCAAGATAGTCTTAGGAAATAAGTTTAGCAAGGCCAGCAAGACAGGGACCAGAAAAGGCAAAGCACAAATTTGCACAGGCCTTCTCGATGTTGGCTATGATTCCATCACGGCACCACCAGGAGAACTGCGGATCCTTCATGTGATTGGATTCAAAAACTGGGACATGCCCACAAGACACTGGCATGACTTTGTCATTGTCGCCCCTTGCACGTGGCACAATGTGATGACTCATGTAGTAGCCTTAAGAGGTTCCGAAGGCTCCAGAATGATGTCCAGGGACATCACCTTCAGCAAGACGACTCTAATCTGATCTGACTGATTTATGTGTACGTTATATACACACAGTGCCTGATATACATACATATATATATATACACACCGTGTATACAACAATATTATATATATATATAATATTATATATATACTTATATATCACTTTGCCGTTGGTTTGCCATTGCGCCATTGCTTTGCCATGTGAAGCTTCGGAAAAGAGGCGAAGTCAGCTGAGTCGGTCCGGACTTCCTTGAACTCTGACTCGACCTCCTCTGCTGGGCAGATCGGCCTCAGGAAACCCAAGATTTCACAGAGTCCATCCGAGTCCATCCGTATTGAAAGATGGTAAGGTGCTTCATACCTTTGCAGCCTTTGCCTTAGGCTCATGCACTTCTCTCTTGTGGGAGATTTGGTCAATGATTCCCTGAGTCATGCAAGATCATGCAAGTTCATCTGAGTCGAACATCCAAACCAATCATGCTGTCCGAATAATCTGAATAGAAACTTAGAGATGCCTGCACGATATCAGCTTGCGTGAGGCGAGAGTGATCTACGGCCTAGGAAAGCAGCTCATGGCAAATCATGCTGGGTCGGCTGACGGTCGGCTCGCTGCTTCTTGTGATTTGGACACTTTTCAGAGCTGAGACTTGGTCCACCAGGTACGGACTAGTCGTGTCATCCGAAGCAACGACTCGAGTCAAGCGAGCCACCTCGAATCAGTCTACAATCCAACAGAATACAACGGGCTGAGTTTCCACAAACCACACTTGGCAAATCCCACACTTGGGCTTGGACATCTCTAACATGCACACAAGGAATGTAGTTGTCACCTTGGACAGAATGCAACGTTCAGGCGACAACCAGCATTTCACCTCCACTTTTGCCAGCCTCGCAATGTATGCCATTGAGCTACCGACCAGGGGCAATGATTTTGTGAATCGGTTGAGTCAACCAAGCCTCAGCAGTTGATGCACATCAAGGGCATCGAAGCTATGCAGCTAGCGCATAGGATATTAATACCTTCACTGCGCTTCACCTAGGCCTAGGCCCTAAGCAAGAGAGGCGTAACAACACGTTGTCATTCGCAAGTGACAGAAGTACGCCGGTTTGGAAAAGGGGAGTCGGAAAGGAAAACGGTCATTTCCTCGCCAAAGATTGAGCACAGAAGAATCCTTCAAATTCGATCCTTTCGTATGCAAGAAATACAGGTTGACTACTTGCCGGGCCAAAGATTGTGAACACATGAAGCCGCAAGGTAGACTGGAGAGACTCTTCAACCATGTCAAGTTGACCCTTTAAGCACTGCGACTGTGCGGTTTGCGTTTCTGTAGCATGCAGCCGATGGTAAGCAACCAAGATGCCAGTTCTTACTGACTTCTCACAGGAAAGGAACAAAGATCTTATGTGACAGCATTCCACTGTTGTTTCTTCAAGAGTCATCAGCTTTGACGAGCAACAGTTACAACATGTCACAACTCATCCCGTGTGCCATGCCCTAAGACCCTGAGATGTCCACTGCTTTGAAGAGCTCGTTGAATGTCGTCTCCCCTTGGATGCTCAGGGAAATAATCCGTATCATGGCTTTCACAACTTTCACAGCTTTCACAGCTTTCACAGCTTTCTCAGTGCCGTACCGTTGCCGTACAAAATTCCAGCTCCAATGACATGTGGACGAAGCTTTTCTTTGGAACCTGGCAAAAATTCAGGTGTAGAATAGTTTTTGGATTTTTTGTTGCCCTCAGGTTTTGGATTTTTTTTGGCTTTCTTTCCCGGTACCATTTGCCTTGTATTTGCAACAGTACATTTGGCCATGTTCGCCTTCCATTTTGCATGGTATTTTTCACATTTTGGCATTTCAACCTCTCATTTGCATGGTATTTGCTACATTTTGGTGCTTCAAACGTTCATGTGGGTCTCTTGAGGGTTCTTTATCATTTAGGGTTTCATTTAGGGTTTCATTTAGGGTTTCTTTACGGTTTCATTTAGGGTTTCTTTAGAGTTGGGATTTCTTTAGAGTTTCATTTAGGTTTTTTTTTCCGGTTTCATGTAGGGTCTCTTATCGGGATTTCTTATCAGGAGTTCTAAACGTTCAACTAGGTTTCTTTAGGGCATTTAGGGTTTCGTTTAGGGTTTCATTTAGGGTGTCATTTAGGGTTTCTTTAGGGTTTCATTTAGGGTTTCATTTAGGGTTTCATTTGGGGTTTCATTTGGGGTTTATTTAGGGTTTCAGTTTGGGTTTAATTTAGGGACTCATTTCAGGTTTCTTTAGGGGTTCCTTTAGAGTCTCTTTAGGGCTTCTCTAGGGTTTCATTTAGGGTTTCTTTAGGGTTTCATTTAGGGTTTCTTTAGGGTTTAATTTAAGCTTTCTTTAGGGTTTCATTCCAGGGTTTCTTATCAGGATTTCTTTTCACGATTTCTAAACGTTCAAGTGGGTTCCTTTAGGGTTTCATTTAGGGTGTCATTTAGGGTTTCTTTGGGGTTTCATTTGGGGGTTCTTTAGGTTTCATTTAGGGTTTCAATTTAGGGTTTCATTTAGGGTTTCATTTAGGGTTTCTTTAGGGTGTCAATTTAGGGTTTCAGCTAAGGTGTCAGTTAAGGTTTCATTTAGTTGTTTTTTTTCAGAGTGTTGTTTAGGGTTTCTTTGCGATGTCATTTAGGGTGTCATTTGAAGTTTCTTTAGGGTTTCATTTATGGCTTCTTTAGGATTAATCTATGGTTTCTTTAGGGTTCATTTATGGTTTCTTTAGGGTTCATTTAGGGCTTCATGTAGGGTTTCTTATCAGGATTTCTTTAAGGGGTTTCTTTGGGTTTCACCTAGGGTCTCTCTAGGGTTTCATTTAGGATACAAACAGAACAGAATAAAGCAAAAGAAAATTAAAAACAAAGAGACAGTAAAGACAGGAAGCAAAGAAGCAAAGGAGCAGGAAGTAGAAGTAGAGCAGCAAAAACACATGACTGAAGAAAAGAAAACGTAGAATAGTAGAAGTAGAAAGGCACAGAAGTACAAAAGCAGAGAAGCAGGAAAAGCAGAGAAGCAGGGACCAAAAAGCAGAAAAGCAGAGAAGCAGAAAAGCAGAGAGGCAGGAAAAGCAGAGAAGCAGGAAAAGCAGAGAAGCAATGTAAGCAGAGAAGCAGAAAAGCAGAGAAGCAGAAAAGCAGAGAAGCAGAAAAGCAGAGAAGCAGGAAAAGCAGAGAAGCAGAAAAGCAGAGAAGCAGGAAAAGAAGAGAAGCAATGTAAGCAGAGAAGTAGAAGAGCAGAAAATCAGAGAAACATGAAAGCATAGAACCAGGAACCCAAAAAAAAATCCAAAACCTGCCGCGAAAAAAAAAATAGCCCTCCAAATTCAAGTATCATGGGATTCAATTTCTGCAAAGCTCTTGGCCCGAAGTGCTACTTTGCAAGTAAAAGTGCTACAGAATGCTACAGAATGCTACAGATCTAGTGGTTTCCTGAACTCCAGGGATGTCACGTTTAACGGCACGGAGCAGCCTAGTGAAAGTGTCAGAGTCTCGAGGTACTTCCAAGCCTTGATCAGTTCAAGTCTTCAGCAAATTCAACACTGGCTGCCAAAAAATGGACTTGTTTTGTGTTCGGAGTAATCTTGAAACAGAATCATCACATAGACTTGAACACTCAAACTTTAAACTTAAATATCTTCCATGACTCTTTGTCGGCTTGACATGCCACAGCATCTTCATTTGTAGAGTTACTGGGCGTTTCAGTTAGAATGCACAACTTGTAACTAAAAAGATTGACAAAGCATAGCAGTTTGCCTCGTAGGCAGCAGCTGGCACTCTTCTCTCCAAATCCGCATCTGTCAACCTCAGCAAACACAGGTCACGAAGAGAATGTGACAGGAGCATGGGAGCAAATACCTTCGAGATGCGAACAAAAGAAAGAGAGACAATCTTCTTTCTACAACATAATATACATTGGCAGGAAACGTGCAATGGACTACAAATTACGAAAAAAAAAATCGCAGAATCAGAAGCTCCACGCAAAAGTTTTGAAGGCAGGAAATTAGGCCGAAATTGGCCAACTAGTCTGACCATTCTTTCAGTGTCTTGGGCAGCATGATTCCCACGATCTCTGTGAAACGAAATTCAGCTCAGTGACTCTTTGGGCCGCTTTTTCACTTCCACATCCTGGGGGTCAAGACTACCAGGAAGATCAACTCCATTTGACGGACATGGTGCTAACACAGATGCAAGGGCTTTGATCCATGGCCCATCCATTGATCAACAGCACCTCCAATGCATCTGGATCTGGTTCCACATTGTCCTCATCGTCGCGGCCTTGGCACACAGTTCCAACATGTGGGTTTATCTGCAAGAAGGTGTCCAAAATCAAATGGTCTAAAATCATGTTCCCCATCAAAATTCTTTTTTGCCCCAGTCTGTTCGTCTGTTCTGCGCTTTCCATCATTTTGAGATTCGTACTTTCCAGAGGAACATATTGCTTCCGAGTGTTCGCCCAAACCTCAGGGAAGCAGTCTCCTGCTGCAGTTCCCAGGACTACACTGACTACACTTGGCCCTGCGTCATCCCCAAACCTATATGGTTGATGAATAGGGGTGGCATATTGATCAGTATTATAAATGGTTTGATGAGTATTTATCATGAACCCAAAAATAGTAACAATGATAACAAGATTAATAATAAAGAATAAATAATTAATAATTAATAATTAATAGTAAGTAATAAGTACTAAATAATAAATGATAAAGAATAAAGAACAGAAAATAAAAAATGAATAATAAACAATGAACAATTAAAAAATGACAAACAATAAATAATTGATCATTAATAAGTAATACGTATTAAGTAATAATGATAATGACAATAATAATAATAATAATAGTAATAATAGATTTAAAAAATAGTAGTAATAATAATAATAATATATAATATATAATATATAATATATAATATATAATATATAATATATAATATATAATATATAATATATAATATATAATATATAATATATAATATATAATAATATAAATAACATATAGTAAATAAAAGTGATGAATAATAAATAATAAATAACAAATAATAAATAACAAATAGTAAATAATAAATAGTAAATAATAGATAATAAATAATAAACAATAAATAATAAATAATAAACAATAAATAATAAACAATAAATAATAAATAACAAATATGTAATAAATAGCAAAAAAAAATAATAAGTAAAAAGTAAAAAAGTAATGAATAATAAATAATGAATAATAAGTAATAAATAATAAGTAATAAATAAATAATGATCCCTGAATAATGAATAATAAGTAATTAGCAATAAGTAATAAGTAATAGGTAATAAGTAATAAGGGATAAGTAATAAGGGATAAAAATAATGAAATTGTTGTTATTATTATCATATTGAGAATGATAATAATGATAATGATAATGATAATGATGATAATTATAATGATAATGACAATAATGATAATGATTAAGATAATGATAATGATAATGATAATGATAATGATGATGATGATGATAATGATAATGATCATGATAATGATCATCATAATGATAATATAAACCATCTCCACCAGAAATGGGCTGAAAAACCAGCCCAAAATGGTAGGTTCATTATTGGGTTTACCACATTACAATTCGCCAAAGAGCCAGCTCCTTTGCCCCCACGGAGGCCCCTCACATGCTGATGCCCACCGTGCACACTGTAGGTGCTTTTGTGTATAAGTTCGTCTGTCACTCAAAAGCTGGAAGTGGTAGCCTTCTGGTTTCAAGTTGGGCTTGCAATATGAATGCCTCTCTATCTAAAGGAATCTACAAAGCAAAAGCAAGGTGCATGGTGCTATATCCACGGGTTTAGAGCCAGAAGCGAAAGCTTGGGACGACACCATCGCTGACGAGATGAGCACAAAAGTGATGTTGTGCTCCAGCTCGGCAACCTTGAGCTCTTTGATGACATACTCGACCTCACAAGTCCCCATTCAAAGACGCTGAGACTCTGGTTGAACTCTGGGACTCTGGGACTCGGACATCTTCTACATCGGCACTGTGTAGGTCGTACACAACCAAGGAGCACCTCGGAGAAGTTTTCAAAGTATGCAATGAAATGGCAAGATCCATAGTACAAAACATGTTTTGCTTAACAAGAAAACCTATGTCCACTGGAGGGAACCTATCGTCCACTGGGAGGCAACCGACAAGACTTGCAAAGAGTGAAGCGAAGTACCAAGGTCACCACGAAAGAATGCTGGCAGTATACTTTTGCTTGTCAGTTCTGCTGACAATTCGTCTGACCTGAATTCTGACACAACTGTTGTTTGTGTACCAATTTGATAATGCCAAGTTGAATGCAGCAGAAACATGCAGAAATCAGCCGACAAAATTGAGACCATGACTCCCATCAATTCATTAAGTTCAGCATCTGCCTGAGTGGTTATCAAGTTTTTTTGTCCAAGCACATTCGTCCACACAATTTCAGTTTCGAATTATATATAGTTTCAAAGGTGTTCCAAGCGCCTCTGCTCCGGGTGTCAAAGTACCCAATATTCGATTTTCCTTGCGCTGGAACTTCCAGACGTTCAAAACGCAGATGTTTTTTGTTTTGCAGTCCTGGTCAAACACTTTTTGCAAGTCAGCACAAAGCGCTTTGCCTCAGTGGAAGAACCAACGCAGCGTTCTCAAAGTTCACAACATGTGAATTCTGGTGTTCCAAGTTCCAACCAAAAAATGCTGAGTGCATTTCCAACGTAGCTGTTGGCCTCAGACAGATTCACAACATCGGACCATTTGCGGTGCAAAATTTCAGGTTGATTTCGTATACGTATTACATATACATATGCATATTATATATATATACGTATATATATATATGTGCGACTAAACAATGTTTGTTCCCAACTTTGCTGGCATGTCCAGCCAAGCGACATTGTTGATAAAGATCCGCATTGGTCGTGCTGGCAAAGCTACCTGCACAAACAGGGCATTTTGCAGGTGCGCAATCCAACCCAAAAAACATCCTACAAAATAAACCGTATGTCCATTGTCCAAATAAACACCGCCTGGCGCAACTGCCACAGCAACTACACTGGTGATATCTACCCCCCATGAAGTTCAATTGATGACATGTATGGTTTTGGAAATGTTCGGGAAACCTTATTTTAACTCGTGATTTTTAGCAAAAAAAATGCTAACAATGTATGGTACAGTGCTCATGGAACAAAGCTGGAAAAAGCAGCGGCCGTGTTTGAATTCAATACCGTATCCTTCAAAAATGAAACTCATACAATTCGGACCGACCAAACGGCATGCCATGTTTACAATCGAAACGCAAAGTTGCATGCGCCAATGCAAAGGTGTTGTTCAATTTGTGAAATGAAAAAATTATCCAACAATGCCCCGAAAACACAATTTCGACCGCATGATTCAAAAACGATGTCGTTGAAAAACAGTACGCGCATTGTTTTCTTGCATTTGGAAAAGCACCCCAATTCCTCCAAACAAACACCTTCTGGCAGTCCTGTACAAACACATGTTCTTATCTGTGAACAAACGGCGGGCAGCGCGCTCTGTTTTGGACCACAAAAAACCTGACGAGTAAAAGGTTGATGAAATGGTTTTCATGTCATGTGAATGCACACTTCACTCTCGATTTGTGCTGTCATCCTTGCATATGAGTGGGAGTCAAAGTTCTTCGTACTCCTCCTCAATGGCCTGAGTTGCTCCTCTGACGTAGCATCCAGATGTTGTATCTGGCTCTCCATCATTTTTCAAAGTTTTTCACAAATAGTTGCCCTGCATGATTTCATGGAAGCCGTTCACATATCTTTGGTGGATGTCGGGCATGTACTCTCGGCCTCGATTCCTTGCATATCTGTGCAGTCGCTGAAATACTCCTCTAATCGAAGTCACCACAGGCATAGTCATTCCTGCCGGGCTTAGTTCCAGCACTCGCATCCAAAACTGTCACAATGGCTTGCTGCATCTGTGAAGCATCGTAGTAAAGATTTTGTGCCAATGCTTCATTCTGGTCTCCTTTCATTGCATCCAACAAGGTCACGGTGGTAGTCGGAAACTGGCGAGTGGTATTCGGAAACTGGAGGTGGTATTCGGAAACTAGGATTCGGAAACTGGAAGTGGTATTCGGAATGGTATTCGGAAACTACACAGTGGTGTTCGGAAACTGGGACGTGGTATTGGGAAACTGGGAGTGGTATTCGGAAACTTGGGAGTGGTATCGGAAACTGGGAGTTACATTCGGAAACTGATTTATATAATCGGAAATTGGATACCTGGAATTGAAAACCCCCGGGATACGACCACACAATGCTGGTTTTATTTTTGTCCATCCGCGGAGCTCTTCAACGGTGATCCCACTTCTTGAGCAAGGAAAGGATTGTCGCAGCAAGAAAAAATCAAGCTAAGATCCTTTTTGCAAAAGCTGAACGTGAAATCGCACAGCTACACTCCCTGTTTTGATGCACAGGGCCCCAAAGGTAAATACATGAGAATTGAACCATGTGACACTCGCCATGGTCTGCAAATCGGCTGTTACACTTCTGATTTGCGCGTGTCATCCCATGACATGTATGACATGAGAGCACAGTGCACAATGTTTTGGATTCCTCCTTTGGAGATTGATTTTCAAATCAAACTACATCAAATCCGTTTTGGATCTCATGCTGCCTTTGCTTGAACATCCTGGGCATTATAAGGGGTCGCCCAGATTCCCTTCGTTTCTGTCCTTGATTTTTCTTTCTATTGTTCACCACATCATTCCTCTGATTTCCATGGTTCGTTGCCTCAACCTGTTTGCAAGTTCTGGAGTCATGATTTGATGTCTCGGTGCAATTGACTCCAGCCTGTTTGCGACTTCTCTCAAAATGTTGTCTCTCTCCACCGTTCTGCCCATGTTTCCAGCGTTCAAATTGTCCAACAAAGGCAACACCAAATGTTGCATCTTAGCTGCATCCCTGAAATGGTTTCGTGCCAATGCATGGTTGATTTCTTTTCGTCGTCCCACAACCAAGGCTGTTGTAGGGCCTTCTTGGTCACCTGCAGGAACTGGAGCCACTGGAGGGTCGTCCTCCTGCTCTTCAAATTCTGCACGCTCTTCCATTGTTTCGTCAGTGTCCTGACCTGCAGCTGTTCCCTGATTTTGTTGTCGAACAACTTGAAGAAAACGCTGTTGTCCCATCACTCATGATGCAATGAGATTTCCAGATTCTTGCTGATACATATTTTTTAACACTGAACCGGGGACGAAATTTGGGGGGATTACTTTATTAAGAAGCTTTGAAACGTGGGTGAAAACAAAACAGAAATAAGATATAATAAGTTCAAATCATGTGGTTTTGGTTTTTCATCCACCATTGTGACCATTGTGTGAACATTGGATCATTGTGGGATCCTGTGGTTCAAATTTTACAGCGAACATCATATATAAACGATCTCATGTGTTTTAAAAGCATCTGAGATCAGTGTAGTTTGATAATCCTGACCCAGACATGACGGGCAGCTGGCCCAAGTGGGCCGCCATGGAGATGGTGTAGCTGGCCCAAATGAGCCGCCGAACTGTTCCAATTCAATTCACAGCTTGCGCTGGGCCTACTTCTTTGATCGCGAAGACACAGTCTGCCCGTCTAAGCTAAGCCAGGCTAGCCCAAAACAGGTCATCAGCTGAATCATAAACCAAGAACCTCAGCCGATCACGGGGATCAGTCAGGAACACCATCGGTCCATACAAATTTCAAACACTGCTCACTGCGACAAAAAGTGACAATCTATCAACGGTTTCCTGTCAAGTCATTGATTAATTAATTAATAAATGAGCTTGGCATCATCTTCTTTCCAATTAGCAGCGTGTCTGAACTGTTAACTCAAACGCCGACAGCAGCGTTTGTTCTCGGGGATCCAGGCCTTGGGATTTTCCTCTGGGACAAGGTGGGCGACTCTGCGGTGGAAACAACGCCCCTTGCTTGGCCAGCTTCCATCTTCTTCTCTCACACGAATGATCCACGTTGGTGGATCTGACCCCTCACGTCTGCCAGGGCCAGGACTGAACTTGAATTGGCCACAAGTTCTATTGCAGCCAGGGCATGTCACATCCTCCCAGAAGAGGACATGATGACGTGGGGCTGCTGGAGGATGTCGTGGGTTGGCAGGAGCAGCTTCTGCACCCGGACGCACACCAGCTTCAACTGGCTCTGGGGGGGCTGGACGATCATCAGGCACTGGCACTGCAGGTGGCGGTGGGCCCAGGTCAGCGTCCGCATTTGCATCTTCTTCCACAGGAGGTTGAAGATCGTCCAACGAAGACGAAGACAAAGAAGAAGCAGAAGTTGCACTGGGGTCGTGCGGGCCAGGAGACATCATGACATCATCGTTCGACAATGCCACCGGCTGTTCACATGAAACCTGAACCAGCGCTGCCAAAGGCATGTCATCATCAACTTCCGGCTTGGGATCCGCAAGCACCAGCTGCTGCTGGTCAGCAACGGGCTGTGCTCTCAAACACTGGGCGAATAACCCGGAGAATTGCCGTCCAAGATTGGGCCTTCCGGCCCAGGAAAGACGCTTCCCGCATCCTGAGGAGCTGGCAATGCCAGGAACTTGACAAACAGTAACTGTATTATCATTCCAAGGGAAAAAAAAGATCCCAAACCCGTAATGATCTATTGATTAATTATTAATTATCAGCCCCCGAAGTTTCTAAGTCTGTAGGGTGGGATATTGAAATATCATGGAAACACTGTAACAAAAATGCCACTGTTATAGTATACAGAGGAGAATCATTGGGGTGTTTAATATAAGGTAAAGTTTGGGTTGAAAGTTTTGGAGGAGCCTGGCTTCAGGACCCCAGGTTGGGGAGAAGTCAGTCAGAGGACCCGTTTTGTTCTGTCCAGGGCTTGGAAGGCAGCTCTTCGCAATGAACATGCTCGGATGATTGATTGTGATTATTAATGATTAGGTTTGTTTTCAGAGAACTTGCCCCTATAACCAACCGGTGCGTAAGTTAGATCTTCAAGCAGTTTTCCCTTCGTTATGAAAGGATGACGACATTGCGCGCACAGCATTGCTTAACAAACCCTGGCCTTGTTACTTTCAACAATTGTTTCCAACCCCCCATTGAAAGAGCCATGTTTTCGTGAAAACGTTGCTTTTGTTGACTTTCTAAAGGCTCGCAATTGAATCTACGTCAAATTTAAGCTTATTTAGGGCTTGTAATAGACTTGGACTAACGGCCAAAATGCCAACAGCACTGGGATGCAACTTCCATTTGCTTATTAAGGCGGGCCCATTGCCAATATTGTTATTGATAAATCCACCCCAAAAAATTGCTTGGAATTGGCCCAGGCACTTTGGCTTTCCTTTTCACACCTTTCAGACGCTTTGCCGCATGCTTGAAGGAAATCCCCCATGCGGCTTTCTCTCAACCTTACCCATAGGCCTGCCCTTGGGTTTGGCCTTGGTTTTCGCCTTTTTCTTTTTCGCATCCTTCTCCTTGGCCTTCTGCTTGGCATGGAGCTGCCTTTCAGCCAGAGTCCATCCAGATGATGCCAATTTTTTCTCCGCAATCAAGTCAGTAATATCCTTGTATTCTGATTTGTCTTCGGCAGGCATATCCCAAAGAATCAACTCATCCAAGGCAGTGCCTAACTCCGTGTTTTCTGGGTCATGTTTTTCTGGGACTTGGGCGTTGCAGCATCTCTTTGACTGCTTTGATCCATTCAACGTCATCACCACCGATGTAATCCACCAAGCTATGCATGAGGTCCACCCGGGGCATTTTGGCCAAGGCCTTGGGATTTCCATAAGCCGGTGGGCAGCAGAGATGCTCTACCAAGGCGTTGTGATCTTGCTGCTTCAATTTTTTTACCAGAGCAGAATTCCCAAAGAAAGACTTCAGCAATGGCTCTGCATCATCCGGGACCGTGACAAACATGTGCTCAAAGGTCTCCACATGGAAATAGGATTGACAATGTGAATCCAAAATGCAGGAGTCCAATGCATAGCAGGTGACCTCCGGGTTGCCAAAATCCATTGAGCGAACTGGCCAACAAAGTCCAGCCCATGTAGCGTGGCCAAGGCAAAGTCCCAAACGTCCATGTTGATGCACTTCCTGCAGCAAAACATGCTGTTGACAGAACTGGCTGAAAATTCCATGTGCCAGTCTGCCACCTTTCTGGCCAAGATTTGTCGCATTATACATTCTCACAAACTCCAAGGCTGCAGCGCCCACCTGTAGCGTCGTCTCGCTCAATGTGTTCCAGTTTTTCCGCGCCATGATGTCGGACCACTCTTTGGGCAACTTGTGATGTCTTGCAAAATAACGCCTCGACACAGGGTTTTGAATGCAAGTTAGAAGCCGCAGCAACTTAACTTGGAATTCGTCCAAGGAGGCCATAGAATGTCAACGCAATTCAAATTTATTCGTTTTTGGTTACTATCAAGGCGTTGGTGCGTTGCTGAGAAGCTTTGCGCATTATGTCCCCTTTGATACACGTGCGTTTTTTGACAGGAGTGATGTGTTTAACCTGGTCAAGGTATTTTAGCGCAATGCAAATCGCTCCCAGGGACTCCGGGACTCACCACCCACAGAATGTATATACAAGCCCATTTAGAACATTTGACTCACCATGATAGCAATGGAATCAGCATCAACATGTGGCAAACACTTCATCAGTAACGAAGCGCAAAAAAACATTCTTGCAGAGTGTTGAATCAGATTAATGACCCATGCATGTCATTGTGCATTAGCAAGAATTGAACACATACACTGTATAAACTAGTGACTGATGAATGTCACACGCGAAGTGAAGACATCTAGCAAAGTATCTTAGATGGGAATGGGACAAAAATTAGAAATCTCATATAGTACACATCATTGACAAAGAAAACGGACAGGGTTAAGTTAGGGTACTGAACCCTTTCACCTGATCGGCACCAAGGAGCTGGGGTCTGGTGGAGAACAAACCCTGCACGTTTGAAGTCAATGGGCAATAAACAACTATTCTGTGATGGGCCGTGGGTACAAACTACCAGTTTCTTCATCAGTGTGGGCATGGAGCAGGTGTCACGAGGTTCGAGAATACAGGAGGGCGGCAAGACTTGCAGCGAGCAGGAAGTTAACTCACTATTTACAGCAGCAGATAGACTTGACAAGCTTCCGGCCCCCCTACTACAGATTCGGCTCTAATGCCTTTTCTGGGTAGTTACTCTTTATTTCAAAAATTTGCCTGGACCAACATCATGCTGGTCTCATGGGCGTTTACTTGTTCAATCAACCAGCACAGTCACAGACAATGCAGATATTCCCGGGCCAGGCCTCTTGCGTTTTCTGTCTGGGGTCCGCTCGAATGACTGCAGAAATGTCTCCTTGTCCGCTTCTGCTTTGTGGCAAATCCCTCGCTGGCTCAGGACGTGGGCCTGGGTCACCAGCACTTGAATTTGGTGCATCGTTTGCCGTCGGTTCTTTTGGAAGCAGCATCGACTCTGATGACTCCATGCAGGTCTTCAATGATCTTGCTCTTGGGCAAGGTTGCTACCATACCTTTCAAGAGGTGGCAACCAGCCTGAGAAGAAGGTCGGAATGCATCTGCTTCAAACGCCAAAAACATCAGTCTCACCGGAGGGGTCAGGACCAACTTCAAATCATCAGGATTCGCAGAAAGCAGCGGGAATTCGCAGCAGCCGGTTCCAACTGCACCAAAGCTGCAAAATCAGAAGACAATTTTTGAGCAGTCTCCTGATGCCAAGCCAAGGGTAGTTGGCTCTCTCAAACTTCCCAGCCCCATGGGCAAAAACATAACTTGACACATGTCATGACATGTAATAACATTTTTTGAAATGGTGATAACCACACTTTGCGGTGCAGAAAATATCCGACAATCACCCCGACCATAATCTTTTAATTCAATGCAATTCAGAACCGGTCAGAGTCGTCAATGGTGAGTGCGAATATTTCTCCTCAAAAAAATCGTTCATGTGAAAAAACAATTGAATTTTAACAGCGCATACTAAATCAATTGAAATGGGTGTTTTTTAATTATTGTATGAATTAATGAACAAATTGGATAAATTTATCAATCACTTAGTTGATCAATTAATGCAAATCACTGTCAGTGACTACCGTCACCACATCAGTTTGAATCATGACATGACATGGTGTCGTCCTGCCGCAGAACCATATCCGAACTGAGAATGCCGGCATAACATTCCGGAGGCGCAGAGTGCTGAACAAACGACCATGTTCTTCTCGAAAGGAGATGAAAGATCAAATGCAAACACTTGTCACCTGTGTCCCACATGTTCTTTTCAGCGATGAGTCTCACCACCTGGGGATCTCGCGAAAGGGGAACACTGGCAAGTTCCTGCAGATGCTGCTCACTCTGCCACATGGATTGCAAATTGATTGACCTGGCCAAGCTATCACTGTCGTTCAAAGTGTTCTTCACTTCGGAACTGTAGAAAGACCAAATTGGGAGCGTGCAAGTCTGTAGAATGCGGCAAAAGCCAAAGAATTTTTCGCTCATCACGAAGAAGGCCAATTTGGTGCCACCTCCCAATGCCTCCTTCAGAGCGCTGAACTCCTTTCGCATGTCTGTTTTCGACCCATCACCACGGGCTGCCAATTTGGCAGCTTCTGAAATGGCCCCCCACTCTGCCTGTGCATTTGGATCCAATGGTTTTTTTTCTCGTGCTTATAGTGGTAGGCTAGGACCAGCTTGAGTACGTTGAACTCACTGAGTTGCTCCTCAGCCGCATCGTTCCACGCAAACCACCTGCCCAATTTCGGCATGGTGCCTTTGCAATGGAATGTCGAACAGGACGACAGTTCACTCCAGGCTTCTTCCATGGAGCTGTTGGCACCCCAAATCCCATCGTATGTGCTCAAACATTGTGTGAAAAAGGTCGCAAGTTTCTGAGACTCCCGCTGGAGCATGACATCAAGCAAACGGGTTTTGTGTTGCATGAAATGTCCTGTGCCATATGGCCTGTACGCCAACCCCCACAAGTAGTTGCTGTGTATTTGAACCTGTAGAAAAGCACCCTTGCAGGCATATGGCAAAGATAACTTTATGTCTCTGATGGTCCGATGGAAGACGTCCCATCTCGTGTGGGCCAAGCGGGACAAGCGGTGAATGGCATACCTACGAATTGAGTCTGGGAAAGCTGCCACTATAAGTTCACCTTGTTAAAAGAACTTAAACAAGTAATGGACTAAACTACTGATGTACGTGGTATTTTAATCTTACAAAGTGCTTTCACGACAGAGCATATTCATCATTTTGGGGACTCAAGCAGCCGGATCGAAAGAAACAAATGATGAAATATATAGTCAATAAAGCTGCAGCAGGGACGCTGCCCCTGCGGTTCCAACAGCACCTTGGTCCATCTGAAGTGTCAAGGCCGGGATGGATTTCCACCAGTTCAGATCGGATGGCAGGCACAACTCATCTTCCTTGCCCTCCGATCGAAAGCCTGCAACCACCTTCCTGCTACCAGACTCTGACACTTCGGTTCGACTGAACCTGGTCTCGCCTGCTTGCACCCCCTTGATCCGCAAACTTGCTGGAATCCGAAA